CAAAACAGCAGCAGACTCACAGAATCCAAGAATGGACTAACAGTTACCAAAGGGAAAGGGCCCGGGAAGGATGGGTGGGAAGGGAGGGATAAGGGGAGGGGTGGGGGGAGAAAGGGGGAATTAGGATTAGCATGCATAATGTGGGGGAAGGGCACGGGGAGGGCTGTACAACACAGAGAAGACAAGTAGTGATTCTACAGCATCTTACTACGCTGATGGACAGTGACTGCAATGGGGTATGTGGGGGGCACTTGGTGATGGGGGGAGTTTAGTAAACATAATGTTCATCATGTAATTATAGATGAATGATACCAATAAATAAATAAACAAATAAATAAATGGAAAAAAATGGTATCATAGATAAGTACTGATTGTCAACTTGTTTTTTTCACGTAACAGCAGTTTTTCCTGTCTTTCTGTGTGGCCACATACGGATGTACTGCACTCACTCTAACACCTGCACAGTGTTCACTTGTACATCTGGACCATAACTTGCTTACCCCACTGCCTATGCATGGGGATTGGTGCTGTTTCCAATTCTTTGTGATTTCAAATGGTGCTATGATGAAAATGCTTAAAAATATATCTTTGAAATATTGTGCAAGTATTTCTGTTGGATAAATTCCTAGGGCTAGAATTCCTAGGTCAAAGGTATTCAGAATTTTGGCAGGTACTGACAGAGGGTTCTTCAGGAGAGTGGGAGCAACTTCTCCAAGGGTCTCTATGATCCTGGGGCTTCCTGACAGTCTCTCCAGGGCTGGTTGTCACTAAATGTAAAAACCTTACAAGGCTGTTAGTAAAAATGATACCTTAACAGTGTCCATTTATCAAATGCTTAGCTCATTTTTCACAGTGAGGTCAAGCACCTTTTACATTTACTGGCCATATGAATTGCTTCTCTTTTAAACTGCATGTGTTTGTCTTTTATTTCTTACAAATTTGACCCACTAGAATTCTTTGTACCACAGGGATATTACGCTTGTCTCTGACACCCATAGGTTCTTAGGAATATTTTTCCAATTTGTGGTTTGTCTTTCCATCTTTCACCAGTTCTCCTTGTTTTTGTTGTGGCCCCAGAGAAGTGCCAGCTGTTTCCTTTGTGGCTTCTAGCTCTCATCTCATACTTAGGAAAGATGTCTCTGCGCCAGGGTTATACGTGAGGGGAGGCAGGCCCCTCCCACAGAGGCTGAATGTACCTGACCACAGGTACAGAGAGCAGTGGCAGTGGCAGGGGGGCCACTGCTAGAGGATGTGAAGTGGGATATAGGCACTGTTTCCACTCCAAAGCCCCAAACATGATGTTGACCTTTTTACAGCTTAGGGTTTCATTTTTTACATATAATATTAGACCTATTTTTGGGATTTGCTCTTTTAATTTAGAAAAGGTTACTTAATGAAAACAAACAAAAACTCATCAGTCCCCTCAAGGGAGAATCTGTTTTCATTCTGGTGGAGATGGGGGAAAGCAGACCCCTAGAGCCATCACCCTGAGCCTCACCAGACCCCTTGGGGCCAGGGCATAAGCAGTGCCACTTACTTGCGATCTGGACATCATCAATGGTGACCACTTCGTCCAGCTGCAGCAGGAACTTCTCAGTGAAGGCGGCCAAGCTGGCTATGAAAAACTGGCCAGATTTCCTGCTGAAATCCTGGAGGAAACACAGGTAGCCTAGTGCTATAGGGAGAGGAACTTTCCTCCAAAGGCCGACAGAGGGAGGGTTTGTAGAGCCCATGGATGAGACAAGCCCAAAGTCATTTATCAACTGTGTCCCAGTTAACTGGCATCTGGTCCCAAGCCAGGAGGCTTCTCCCAAGAGGTAACTGGGCTTGAAGATAGAAAATGATTCAGAAATGACCATGGGACCCATAGACAATTCACCCAAGAGGAAATAAAATCATATGTGGATCTTGATTTTAAAAGTTCTTGGTAAATTTGTAATTAATTTTAATTTAGAAATTTCAAAAATGCAAGTTAAAACAGCCAATAACAAACATATCTACCTATAAAACTTGCCCACTTTCATACCCCTCTTTGTCCAGGTTGCCAACAAGAGGCTTTGCCCACTGCTGTTGGAAGGCTGTCTGTTGGGGTAATTTCTCTGGAGGGCAGTGTGGGCCTTGGCACCTGGACTTGGGAGTCAGTGGCACCACTGACCTCTAGTTTATCCCTGATCGCCTTAATCAAGGTGTCCAGATCTTCCTGCCTTTTCTCTTCCACTTGACATAAAGACTCCATTTCTTGAAAATGCGCAGGATGTCCGAGATTTGGACGGAGCTTCTGGGCATTTTCATCCTTCAATCAAGCAACCCAAAAATCAGTAGGAATTTTGACCCAGTTTTAAGGTCAGAACCAAAAGTCACTGGCCTATGTCCTCTGTCAATAATGACCAAGGCCAGATTGATATGTGATCTGACCTGGGTGTGTGAAGGGCTATGGATGGGCAGAGGTGTGGTGGAGAAGGCAGGATAGGGGCATGGATGAAGCTGACACTGAGGGATGGAGAGAGAGCTGAGCACCTGGCACAGCACAATCAGGGATTTAGTCCAACAAAATCAACAATATCCTTGAACCACAGCTCCACGCACCAGGTAGACAATTATTGTTGAGCTCAATGACCCTGGCCCCACAGAAACCAGCAGACCCACCTATTAAATCCAACAGAGTTTACTGAATATCTTCCATGAAGAAGCTGCTGGCTCAACTCTCGTTTCTCCCATGCCTCATATCCCCCAGCCCGCATCCAATAGTGTCAAGCCTGGCCCATCTCCTTCCCTGGGACTCAGTTCTGCCTGTGCCCTGCCCCCATTTCTGAACTCCCAGGCCCCTGGTCCTGGAGAGGAAGGGCTCGTCCTGGGAACCCCCCTCACCTTCCTTTTCTCCAGCTCCTTCTGACAATCCCAGAACTGTCCCCGGATCTCTTCAGTAGTGGCACAAAGTATTTTCCAGTGGTGCTCCTTGAAATTCTCCATCACCAGCCAGCACACCTGGGGCAGCAGCTCCTCAAATCTCCTCATTTGGGCCCGTAATTCTGCAGGAACCAGGGGAGAGGACAGAGCACAGCCAAGTTGCTCTGTCTCTCCAACATTGGCCAAAAGCAGTTTCCCAAAGAAAAAGACTTGGTCTACAATGTGGTGATAGCTATTTTATCAAAAGAGATCCTGTGGTTCAAAAATCATTATAGAAAATACTGGATTAAATAAGTTCATAGGACTGATCTCCTATACTCTACAGGACTTTTCAGCTCATTTAAAAAGAATTGTGTCTTTCAGCAGTTCTGTCTCATTTGTCACCTCTTCAAATATCGCTTTGACTCTAGTCTCCTCTCTCTCTCAGGGCCTCTAAATCACTGTATCTCTTCACCTCTCTCATATTTTCATCACTTTATTTTTCTGTGTTGCATTTTCGATATTTTCTCTGGTCATAGAGCCATTCATAATTTTAAAATTATAAGTATTTGTTTTCCAATATGGAAGTTCTATTTGGTTCTCTTTCATATCTACTTGGCTATTTTAATAATCTCTTGTGCCTTAATCATGTTTCCAATATCCTCTTTTATTTTGTGCTAATAAATATATTACTTGATATTCTGTGTTTGGCATGCTCACTATCCGAGGCCTTCCCTGGTCTTCTGCTGCTGCCTCTTGCTCAAGGTGCCTTTGTTCCTTGTTTGTATGTTTTGTTTGCTTTTTACTGTGAGCTCCTACTCTGGGCATTTTATTTATGAGACTCCTTGGAGGGCTGAATGAAGGTGGGTTTTTCTAGAGAAAATTTGTAGTGTCTCTACTGAACAAGCAGACACTACTAAACAAGGTCATTTTAAGGGTTAGAAAGACCACAGCAGGCCTTTGATGGGCCCTCAGGTTCCTTGCCTTAGAAGCAGGAATAATTAGGGCTTACAACTGGATAAAACATATCTGGCTGTGGACAAAGACACATGTTAAGGTCATTTTTAGTGTCTCTACTAAACAAGGTCATTTTAAGGGTTAGAATGACCCATAAAGTACCAGCTAAAGGTCTTTTGGATGAGTCACAAAAACAAAGTTGAATTCAAGTTTATTTAAATGGGACTTCAGGTTTAAAAACCACATACAGGCTGGCTTACAGTTATGGATTCTCACTGGATTTTTCTTCTTTATCCAGTAGCATCATGTTTAATTAGACAGTTCCCATCGCTGGTAGGGAGCTGGGGGGTGCTTGGTTTCTCTCTCATTCTCCTTACTGGCAAGTGGAGCCCTGTGGAGTCCTGGTTTTATGTGGCTTGTGTCCTTTCAGACTTTCTACCTTGAGTGTAGGACTTTGTCTGGGTCTGGGACTTTGTGTCCTATTCCCAGAGCCCTGGAGATCATGAAAACAGATGCTCAAATTCACCTGGAAGTCAGCAAAGCCCCCTAGGGCAATAGTCAGAGTTACTGCTCAATTAATCTCTCAGAGTCCCTATTTTCGCTTAATTTGGGAGCCTTGTGTGTTTTTTACTTTATAGCTAGCTCATCAATGCATTTGAAAGGGTTCACCACAAAAACATTACAGCCAGCATTTTCACATGTTTTCAGTGGGAGGGTTGGTGGGGATACTGGATTCCCAAACTGTGGGAAATGGAAGTCTCCATTTAATGTGAACTGGGAATTTTCCAGAGAGGAACATAATCTGCAGCATTTCCCAAACCCATTTGACCCTGAAAACTTTCTTTTGAGGAAGATCTTATAGGATGAGATCCCACATGGGGAAATCCTGAGCTAGAGAAACCAAATGTTGTCCATGGTTTCAATTCCAGTCATCCCACAAGCACACTGAAGAGAGCCACCACTGATTATTTTTCCCTGTATGTGGCAGGTCTATGCAAGGTGCTTAATCCTCCAAAAAGCCTTGCATGGTGGACATTGTTTCCACTTTACAGACAAGGCAACTGAGGCTCACAGAGCTGAGCTGACTTGGTCAAGGTCCTGTAGCTGGGGGCTGACAGTGCTGGGTCTTGACCCTGGGTCTGGCCATCCCCTACTCCTCTCCCTCTTCTACCCCACCTGCCCCTCCCCAACACAGCAGGCCTGTGATGGGCCCTCAGGTTCCTTGCCTTAGAAGCAGGAATAATTAGGTCTTACAACTGTATAAAACATACTTGGCTGTGGACAAAGACACAGAGGAACACAGAGAAATGGACAATGGTGGGGTGGGGGTGGGGCAATGGGCATTTTCCACAGCTTCTTAAATGTCATTATAATAAATATAAGTGGCAAGATGTATTCTACCTGCCTGTTTTCCTGTCCCTATTCTCCTGGATTCTGTGTCTACCAGGTCTATCAGAACCCAGCACAGGCCAGGTATACAGCAGGCACTTACCAAATATCTGTGGAAGGATTCTTCAAATGATTAAACAGAGTTACCATATGACTTAACAATTCCACTCCTATTTATACCCCCAAGAGAAATGAACATATGTCCAAAGACATGTACAAGAATCTTTGTAACAGAATTATTGATGATAGACAAAATGTGGCAACAACAAAATGTTCATCAGTGAATGAAAAGATAAACAAAATGTGGCTCATGCATGCCGTGGAATATGATTCAGCCACAGAGAAGCAGGAAGTGCTGACACGCACTACAACATGGATAAACCTTTGAAAACCTTATGCAAAATTAAAGAAGCCAAGCATAAAGGACCACATACTACATGATTCCAGTCATATGAAAGCACAGAATAGGAAAATCTAGAGAGACAGAAAGTAGATTTGTGGTTGCTTAGTTACATCTGATAGAAGTTTTCATCTAATTCTAAGATGTGGGCTTTTTACCAGGGAGCTTCTCTGCCTCTCCAGTGGCCTGCAGGTCAGGAGGTATCATCCAGGCCAGACGACCAGGCCTAGCTCCATCATTGGATGTGGGCCACACCTGCAGCCCACCTGCCCACCTGCTGCCCGCACCCACCTATGAGGCAGGAGTTGTGGTACTCATCTGTCTGGCTCTGGTACTCCAGGATCTTCTGGCCAATATTCTCCGCGCACTGGTCAAAGGTTTCATACATGCAGTCAGGCCTGGTGACTGAGCGCTTCTCTTTGCGGTAGAACTCCTGCAAGGGAAGGTCGACAGTGTGTGGAAGGGGACCTTCACCATGCGACCTCCTCCGACTTGCTTGATGTCACCTGTTCGGGGATGCTTTACCTAGCCATCTGCCCTTTTCACTACTGTCAGTATCCTAGGCTACACAAGGTGCAAGTGAATGGCAAAACTCTACTTACCCTTCAAGACCCAAATAGAATCTCATTTCAATGACTGGGCTTCTGTGAAGCTCCAAGCTGGGTACCAGGCTGCAGGCCACAAACATGGAGGACTCAGCACACCTGCTCTGAAGGACTCACAGCCCAGTAGAAGGCAGGCAGGAACATGCACAAACCCCCGTGTGTGGTGTGCTGGGAGCCCCTGCTGGAGGCCCTGCAGCTGCCTGTACCACAGCCCCACCCAGCTCCTTTGCTGCCCCCACATCTGTTGCCCTCCTACTGGGCGCTGACCTCTCCAGGACAAAGACAGGGCTTGTTTCTCCCGTCACAGCACATATGTCATACAGTTTGAGTCCAAGGTATCTTTGGTGGTTAATAAATCAATAAATGAATGAATGAGGTTTAATTTCTAGGATGAAGAATACTGCACAAGTGGACAGAAGCTGGGTAGCTATAGTCATGAGGGCTGGAATCCCCTTTTCTCAGTTTCACCCACAAGGCCATTATCAGCAGAATGCAGAAAGTAGAGGCAGCTGGGGATGTGCGGCCAGCAGCTGGCAGAGGGGCACAGACAGGTCTGTGGGTAGCAATCTTTACCTCCACGACAGTCAGCAGATGGTCATTGCTCTCCCAGAGGAGGGTCCGGATAATGCCTTTAAAATTCCTGCAACACACATGAAACAGATCCCTGGGGAGCTCTGTCAAATCACACCAAATGATGTGACAAAACCAAACAGACAGACCATTCCAAGTACTCAGTAGCCCAGCCAGAATTGGAGTTGGACAGTCCATGTGAAGCCTAAGCACATTCCACCTACTATTTCTATTTGTCTAGTTTAATGCCAGTTGTATGTGACAAGCTGGGTTTGGCCTCTTCTCAGCACCTCTATTCTCTTGGCCTCATCACTCATTATAATTACTCATTCCTGCCTCAGAACCTTTGCACATACCAGTTTCTCTCCAGAGAACACTACTTTCTTCTTGGTCACAGTTGCTCTATTTCTTCCTCAGATACTGGCTCAGTGGCAGTTTTTTACCACCTCATTCTAATGCTCTCACAGGTCACAGAGGCCCTCAGCCCTGTAGCACTCCCCACAAGGGGGTTTTGAACTGATTGTGTGACTGGCTGATTAACCTCCATCTTCCCCGACAGATGGTAAAGTCCACCAGGAAACAGACTGAATGTGTCTGTTTTGCTCACCATGGAATGTCCAGTCCCAGTGGGTACCTGTACCCATCAGTGCCTCACCACTGATGGAAGAAGAAATATTTCTCATAAATATTAGTCAGATGAGTAGGACTTCCGTCGGGCTAAACATGCCCCTTCTCCTACCTTTGGCCTTTTGGCTGACTGTGAGCACTGAGGCTTTATTAAACAACTTTGCACAGATCCAGTGGATACCAATGTTCAGTTAGGCCAACCATCTCAACAGCAAGAGTAAAGTAAGGGGCAGATGCAATAGAACTGCACACAGCTACAGGACACTTGATTTTATACAATTTCTGTGAAGTGATATAAAGACTGTTGTATACACATGACTGGCCAAGTTCTTAAACACATACACACACACACACACACACACACACACACACACACACACACACACACATGTCATTTGATCTTTCATTTTTAAATTCATTCATCATAATGAAAATTAGAAATATTCTGAAAAGCAAGAAGGAAAAATAAATGCCAATATTTTATTGTATTGCCTTCTCCTGAATTTAAAATTGGTTTGGGAATTAGGTTCATGCGCATTTTATATTCTGCTCACTTGTGAGTGTTCTCCCACCTTACAGTATCTTTCTCAAGGGCTGTGTAACACTGAGTATGTAAGCACCATGGTTTGTGTACAATCCCCTATTTTTGACCCTTCAGGTTTTTTTCCCATTTTTAATTGGGATAATTGTCATTTGATCTTTCATTTTTAAATTCATTCATCATAATGAAAATTAGAAATATTCTGAAAAGCAAGAAGGAAAAATAAATGCCAATATTTTATTGTATTGCCTTCTCCTGAATTTAAAATTGGTTTGGGAATTAGGTTCATGCGCATTTTATATTCTGCTCACTTGTGAGTGTTCTCCCACCTTACAGTATCTTTCTCAAGGGCTGTGTAACACTGAGTATGTAAGCACCATGGTTTGTGTACAATCCCCTATTTTTGAACCTTCAGGTTTTTTTCCCATTTTTAATTGGGATAAAAAGTATTGCATGGTGTATCTTTGGGCACGCTTTTTCTTTTTTTTGATAGGATTTAGATTTCTTGGGGGAGATGCCTGAAGAGTTGCACAAAAGGTATAATTTTATGACTTTCACTATACCTGCCCAGCTGCTTTCTGGAAAGATAATTTACTGTTGACCTTAACAGAAACTCTGTCCTTGACCAAATGTTTATATGGACTGGCTCCTTTGTGTATTTCATAATACCTTCCCAAAGAATATTCCATTGTGTGATTCATGCTACTGGCATGATTTTACTAAGGATAATTTGGAACCTCAGTGGCTTCTTTGGGAAACTTAAGATCCCCCCAGACTGGCTCATCTAAGACCTCTTCCTTCCCATCACCTCTGCTCCTCCTTCCTCCCTCCCTTCAGTCTCCTTGATCTTTCCTTCAGTTTCCCTGTACCTTTTGCTATGATTCCCTTCAAAGCCATACCTCTTTCCCTTCCCACTTGAGTCCTCAGCCCCCTACAGTCACTTAGCTCTAGGCCTCCTGTCCCTCTCTGGGCTCTCACAGGACTGAGGAACTCCTGAAAGCAAATAGCTGAGGCTGAAAAGGAAAAAGGGCTAATTGGCAACAGGCTGGATGTTTTATCCACTCATATGAACCCCAGACTTCAAAAGTTCTTTTTGAGTATATGTATTTTGTGGCAATACAGTTATTTACATGAGCTCAGCAGGAATCTGTCCTTGTAATAGGGCATAACTGGAACACTTGATAATCAAGGCTTTAACTAGAATGTCATATGGAGAATGATGGGTAGAATCAGATATGGCTAAACAGTTTGAAGGAACTAAAGTTGACTTTATGGAGCCAATGCTTGAAGCCTCCTTGGGAAAACCAGCCTGGTACTTGACTTACAGGCTGCCCAGACTTATAGGTGAGTAAGGAAGGCCACTTCCTGGCAGGCCCAGGGACCTTAGGATATTATGGGGACTTCAAGAAGAAAGGGTTTCACCCAAATCTATTGCACTGCAGGTAAAATCTGGCTTGGCTTCCTAGCCTCAAGAGGCTTTAAAATGTCTAATTTGTGATTCTTTATGAAAAGTTCCAGCAATACAAAGGTCTGTGTGGTCAATTTCTATTCTTGCTGTGCTTACATAAATAATCAGGCCAAATCTAATCAGAGCAGTCTTATTTTGTGAACAAAAAACAAAAAGAAGGGGTGATAGAAATTTTATTTTTAAATAGCAAACTCTTATGGGCTAGTAGATTCTAGTCCTTTTCATTGTCTGAGATTTTGTTAGCTACTATAAACTGGGCTGGATCTTGCCATCTTGCACATTTTTTTCAGTCCTTGCCAAATTCTCAGTTCTTCTAGTTTCCTTCAATATCTGGCTACAACTCTTCAAACTAACATTTCCAGTTTTTCTCCCACCTTCCTGACTTGATGCCACTGAGAAATAAAACTTGATTCCCTGGACACCTATTGAGACTTTAGGTTGTTTTGTAGCTGATTTTGTCCCCAGGATCTAAAGAAGCCCTGCAAGCTGAATCTGGACAATGGCAACCTAATCCCAGAGCTGCTCTGGTGTGGGCTGCTCAGGATGCTTCAGGCCAGCAGCTACAAGTCTTGTCTGGCTGCCCTACTACCAAGTCTCAACAGATAATTCAGCTGGTCCTTAATGAATAAAAGGTAACAAATGAGAAATACACTTGTACTGTTCAAAGCAAAGAAGAATGTCTCTTTTTCCCTTAAATAAAAGGAGGGACTAACAGAAACACTCTCTTTGACTAAACTTTATAGGCTCTTCCCAGTCCACTTTTTGACTAGGCCTTATCCTTGGGCACTATCTTTGGCCCATTTTAGCAAGAATTCTATTAAGTCAGTTTAGAGGCAATCCCCCACTTTTGATATCTGATCACCTTTAATATCTGGTCAACCCAGCCTGCTGCAGCAAGAATCCTGTTAAGTAGGTTTAGCAAGAATCCCACTACCCTTGAATGTTCAATCCACTGACCCCTTCACTCTGTATGTTGGCTGTAAATCCCCACTTGTCTTTACTGTATTTAGAGTTAAGCTTGATTTCTTGTATTCTCAGCCGAGCCATTACAGTGTTCCCACATAAAATCTTCCTTACTGTTTTAACGAGTGTCAGAATAACTTTTTCATCTCCACCTTCCCCTTGATAACTGGGAACTCCTACTATAACTTATGTATTGGTTACTCTTAGGCAAACGACGAACGAAGTCGTTCCCCTTTCATTTCTTTGTATTCTAGTGAGAGTGTTTTCTGCGCATGTTTGTTCCTAATTTTATTTTCTCCTTTGGGCGCGGTCTCTTCGGATTCCCCCCTTCCCCTACTGAGTTTTCAAGGTTTCCTAAGCAATTTGCTGGGAGGCAAGGAGAGAGCCAATTTTTAAAGGGCTTTTCCTTTGTTGGCCTTATTTACCACTATTGTTCTTGGCTGGTTATCATCTAACTTTTTACTGCATTTTAACTCAGAGGAGTTTACAATTTTATTTGACAGAATTTTTCCCGTCTTTTCCCTTGTGGTTTCATCAAGTGCTGGTTGGTGTGACAGTCCTGTCTTACTCAAAGGAGGCCTGTGGGTGACTCACTGACTCCTCTCCACAGATCTAAGAGAAGGGTGCTTTTCTACCTGCTGTGCAAAGGGGAAGATTAAGCTTGGGGAGAAGTCACTTAGCCAGAGTGTCAATGTGGGGGTAAAAACATGATCAGGCTGATTCTGTTTCCTGAGCAATTAACCACTGTACTTTGTCAGGAAAGTATCTCCCCTTTCGGAGACTTAGTAAATGCTCAATTTATTTACTTATTTTTGTTTAGCATATGATTTTTTTAATCACTAAAAAACTGTGGTGCATCCATACCATGGATTACTATTCAGTCATGCAAAGGGATGAACTACTGACACACGTGACCACTTGAGTGGCTCTCAAGAGCATATGTTGAAGGCAAAAAGCCATGCTGAGAAAGACATATAGTAGATGAGACAATTTACATGATACTCTTGAAGTGACAAAATTATAGAGATGGAAAACAGATCAGTGGTTGCTCAGGGTTAGGGACAGGTATAGAGGGAGCAGGAGCAGCTCTACAGGGGTAGCCAGAGAGGGATCTTGGTAGTGAGGGAGCAGTTCTGTTCCGTGATTGTGGTGATGGTTATGTGAATATACACATGTGATAAAGTGAGAGAACTATACAAAACTGATATAGAGTCATGTTTCAATGATGTGGAATGTCTTTTGGTGTGTGGGACACGGGAGCATCTAGCTGCTGACTTGGATGCAACTGCCCAGCCACCTGATATGAAAGCCACCTTTCTTTGCAGGGTCCACAAAACCCCACTGGTGGGGCACAAGGACTGAAGAGTAGGGGCACTGTAATGGTGAGTTCCCTGACGAAGGGGAGGAGGGCAATCCATTGAAGATCTTGACTTTCTTTGAGTGCTTTTGGTTTTCTGAAGCTGAAATTATGTTTGTTCACTTAAAATTAGATTTGCTTAATATTAAGTGGAATAGATGTTGTTTTGATCACTGAAATTAAAACAAAAGATGAATGGGATAGGAACAGCATTAAAAATATTACAAACAAACCACAAACAAACCACAAACTTCAAAGAGGTATGCTGCCCTGCTTTCACAAAATGCTTAGCTTGGAAAATGAGGAATTTTGGTGAAAATGTCTAAAAAAATTTAGGAGAAATGGGCTGAAAAAAACTGACCTGGACCCTCACCTGCCCCCTCACTGACCTCTTCTGCTCTGCCATAATCTCCCTTCTTATTTTCCCCTCAGCTGGATCAGATTTAGCTGCCCTCTGATGGAGACAAGAAGTTAAAACGGAGTTAAAGGAAAGGGTGTGTCACTTACTCAGAAGGAGGAGGTGGCCTTTCCCCGAGCACCTGGTACTTTCTGTCCATTCGGTTGGGCTTGGAGTACCACGTGATGCTGTGGGACAAAGTGGGCCAGTGCTCTGGAGGCTGGGACAGACACAGGCAGCCCTGAGCCTGCAGGAGCCCCAAGTGGGTGGGTAGCCGGAGGTGCTGTGCCTGCCCATGGGGCAACCTGACTCCCCTGTCTGGGGCTGAATCCTTCAAGGTGCCTCCCTGCTCCTCAACAGCCCCGGAGACAACCTTATTGTGGGGGTAAAGACCTTACCAGGAAAACCAACCCAAGGTTGCTGAGAGGGAACAAGAGGCAGAGGTGCTGAGGCCCAGAAATCTGTATCCTTTTTCCCCTGTGGTGAGCACCCAAAGAAAAATAGATTGAGCCACTTGCAGAATTTTGAGCTTCTCAACTGAAAATATAATAGGTCCAGTTAAACTTGAATTTCATATATGCAACAAGTAATTTTTACTATAAGTATGTCCCATGCAGTATTTAGGACATACTTGTACTAAAAATATTATGTGCTGTTTACCTGAAATTAAAATTTAGCTGGGCATCCTGAATTTTGATCTGGCAGCCCTGGCAACATGGACTTTATTCTGTAAGTGCTGGTAGATTAAATATACAAATGGACCCACACACAAATACAAAACTCTGACCCATAACCTATAGCAACCTGCCCAGGAAACCAACTCCTTGTTTACAATAAACAATGCAGGAAGCCAATCTGCTATAAGTCGGACTTGTAGGAAGCCAGATTGTCATCTCTAGTGACAATTCAGAATATGAAATAATAACTCCCATAACAATCAGCTCCAAATGGTCTGGACTTGATTAATAACTGAGAACTTCCCTAAATTCTGTCCCTGCTTCCAACTCAGGACCAACCAGAGAAAGCCAAATAGGCACCCTTAAACACTCACAGTGACTGCCCCACTGCCAGCCTGCCTGCCTCCAGTTTCCCTAGGCCAACAGTCGCCAAACAGGGTATATCTGAAGCCTTTTTCTCCACTATACAGCTTCCTCACTCTTTGGCCTGCCTTTGAGTCTGCTAAAACACAAATGGTGGTGGCTGACTTCTTTGCCATAGCAAGCTCCAAATAAATATCCTTTGCTTTGATCATTTGACCTTTGTTTATTTCTACATTGAGATAGCATAAATGTTCAAAAGACCTGGAACTATGCAAAGCAGAAATTTCCTCATGGCCACATCCTCGAAACCAGGAATTAACAAGGACTCACAGAGAGCTCAGGAAGTCAGCTCAGCCATGTAGCTTCTGCTATCCACCCTCCATAAAATTGGTGTTAAAGGTCAGCCTGCATCCATGCTCATTGAGCCATAAGTCTAATGACCCCGGTGGGGCACAGTGGACAGAGCACATCGCCAGGACACCAGAGCCCAGGATTCCTCCTGTGGTTCTGTGATATCATCCAAGGAAAGCCATCTCCAGTGTCCCTCTTCCTGACCAGGCCAATGTATGTAGGGAGGTAGCAGGGCTTGGATCCCCTGGCAGTCACCATGGAAAGCCAGTGAATGCCCAGACAGGTTCTCAGGGTGGGAGACCTCTTTGAGCTGTGTCACTCGGCAGGAATGAGCAAACCTGACTAAAGCCAGCATCAGAGCCGTTCCCTCACTGGTTCCCTTGGGGTCTCTGAGCTAAGCACAGCTGGTACATTCTAAGGACAGTCTAGAAGAGCAAGAGGGTGGTCTCTGGCCTCCATATTGAGGGACAGGATAGGGGGCTGGGAAGGGGAGATCCCAAGCACCCCAGAAACACTACCTCCGTGCCGAGGTGGCACTGGCACTGGACCAAGCCTTTTTCATGGAGTGTTCCACTTGTTTCTGATGTCGCTTGAAGCCTTTGGTTGCTGAGCACCCAGGGTGAGAGCAGAGGATCCAAGGTGAGTGGGGACAGGTGGCACCACCTCCTTCCCCCCGCCAGTGCTCTGAGCCCCACAGGCCTGTATGCCTCTACCTGTCTGGGACCGATCTTTGTCACGATTCTGGGTTGAGAATTTTGAGTTGGGAAATCTGAAACCAAAGGAAAGGGCATGAGCTTCTCCCCAGTGACCATGAGGATGGGTCAGGTCAGGCAGTGGGCACCATCCCAGTTAGCTCACAATACTGTGTGAGTTTTTCCTATCATGAGCTCCATTTCAGAGGAGGAAACTGAGGCTCTGAGAAGAGAAGCCTCTTATGCAAGGTCACAGGCCATGAGGGGTGGGCTTACATGGAAATCCAGGATTTGGGACCCCAAAAACAGCCCCTGAAGTCTTAGGGCTGTCAGCCATGGTGGCAGGACCCCATTGCGCCCCCAGGGCTGCTCACTGCAGAATCTTCTTGACCACCTCCACAGCTGGGTCTTCAATCATGGACTTCCCCGTGCGGCTAGGCTGGATGAAGGACTCAGGGGTGACCAGGTCTACTTTAGCTTCGTCTTCAAGGGCTTCTGAAGACTCCAGGATGTTACTCTCCACCTCCACATCATTCAAAATGTCCTGCAGGCCCAAGAGAAGGGCCAAGTGTGTGGGTCTGCCCTAAGTGCCAGGGAGGCAGGCAGCCTGGGCTCACCTCCTTGCTGCAGTGCTATGGCTGGAGGCCAGCTGCCTGTTTCTTTGAGCCTTTATTTTTCCTTCTAAAAATGGTAATGGTCATATCTCCTTTGGAGAGTCATTCATTCATTCATTCATTCATTCATTCAGACATTCAAAAACATTTCCTGAAGGACTGCTTTTTGCAAGGCTCTGCCTGGTCCTGGGACACAGGGTGAAGAGGCCACATATCACCCTTGTCCTCATAGAGCTTACAATCTAGTCAGAGAAACAGACACTCAGTATCCACTTCTTGGGAGCCTGTGCTATGAAGGGAAACTTCCAGAGTCTTTTAAGACTGAGGGTCATGGACCTGTAAGGATGGCCCATAGATGTGCTAGGTGTTTTTGACCAAATGGATGAATGAACGAATGGGTGCGTAGGTGAGAGAGTGGCCAACTCCCTGCGAGCTGGACCTTAGAGAAGGGTAGGAGTGGTGGCCCACGATAAGTGCTTTTTGGGCTGTTCTGTCTGATTCTGAGTCTTGTCTCAGCATGGATTGACCGTAAGAGGGGAAGATTCCTGCTGGATTCCTGCACCCCATCTAGTTGGGTGTAGTGCTGGTGGAGTGACGGAAGCTAGTGTTGGCATCATAGGAAGAGCCTCCCCACAGAAGGAAGGGCTGGATCAAAACATGAGGGTCAGAGCCTGAAGGGTGGCCAGAGCAGAACTTGAGGGCTGTCCACTTATGCTACCATTGGTTCTATGATACATCCCCCTGGACATTGGTTGAATGCCTCTGATGTTCAAACGCAGGCTCTGCCTTCTTTGGGCACACAGTCTAGGGAGGCAGCTCCTAAAATCAAGACCTCTCTCTGTTAGAGAAGGCCTAGGGGGAAGTAACATCCTCAGGGTCAGAGAAATGAACAAGCCATAGAGGGCAGGCTTAGGAAGCTGTTGTGTAGGTTCCTTTAAAGGAAGCTTTAAAGGATTTTACCTTGAGGGCAGGAGAGAGACATGGTCAGACTGGCCTTTCCAATGTTAAGTCTGGCTGCAGCTCAGGGAATGGATCAGGAAGGGAAGTAAGGGGATAAGGGCAGCCAGTGGGTAGGAGATGGGGTGGGAGTGGGGGTTGGACAAGGCAGAGGGGTGAGGGGTGGTGAGAAGCCAGGGGTGCTCATGGGAAGAGGCTGAGATGTGAGGCTGGCCTGGGAGCTGGTGGGTGGAGTGAGCCGACCGTCCTGATGGAGTTGGGGAAGTGGGGCCAGAAGGTGAGGGATGATGACCCCTCTGGGATTTGAACCCAGATCTGACTGCACAGCCTGTGGTCTTTCCAAGGCAGCCCAGTAGGCCTGAGGTCCAGCAGGGGCCTGGGAGTTCCCTCTTCCCTTAGGCTTTGCTAAGCCTATAGGTGAACTGGAAGCCTAGATCCAACAGCCCACCCACCCTTCCCCACCGTCTTCTCCTTACAGTAAAGACTGCTTGAGGCCCGGACACCATGTCCAGCCTGCAGCTGAGGTACTGAATCCTCTGTCTCAGTTTTTCTTTCCCAGTCTGGACAAGGCCAAGGAGGTCTTCTGTGGTCACTGTCTGTGAGAACACAGAGTAAGAAAGACATGGGAAGCAGGCTGCGGGAGGGCAGGCTGATTCCATCAGAACTGCAGGAGCAGGGGCTGGCTGATGGTGATGCCCAGGTCAGCCGGAGGCCCCCAGTTGCAGGGTGGGCTCTAGGGCAATGGGAAATGCTGGGCCAGCTCTCTTAGATGGTTGCACTGGGGCAGCAGATCCTTCACTGATGAGGCATCAGGAGCTCTATTCCTGGCTCTATGGGTTCATTTTGGTTGAATGATTTAACTGCCCATCTGTATTATAGTGACAGAATGTTCCCAGGGTCTCTCCGTGTAGAAGGACATGACCTCAGATGGCCGGGGTATGTAGGAGTGAACTGGCCACAGCCCTTCTGCAGGGCGAGCTGGCCGTCTTCAGGACAATATCAAATACACGCACCCCCTGGAGGAGCTGTCCCACAGACCTTGCCCAGAGGTCCACAGGGCAGCAACCCTAAGGACATTCCCCATCACCACACATCCCACACGTCACTTGGTGGTCCTCATATGTCGTGCTTTGAATGGTTCCTGACCTAGTGTAGATGACCCAGGCCAGGGGGTGCACTGGCCTCCTCTGTTTCCTTCATTTCCAATGAATGCTGAGTCCTGCCCACTCCCCTGATCACTCAGCTCTGGATTGGAAATGTCCCTGCTGGCACTTTGTCCAGGCTACTATCCTCTCTGTCTCAGCACCCTGTCCCACTCTTCCCTCCTTCCCTGTCTTCGGCACCCAACAACCAGAAGGCCCTCCTCACATGCAACACGGAGCACAAGGTACTGGCTGCACATTCCCTGGCCCCCACCATATTCACCATGTGTCCCAGGCACTGTTCTGTCTCCTGGCCCCTGCTCTTCATAAACATCCAACCAGTCTCCTCCCTCAACATAGGATTGCCTGTCCACCCAGGCCCATGCTCTGCGACCCGGCCAGGAGGCTGTGCAAGCCCCTGGTACCCAGCCCAACACCCTGACACCACCAGGAGAGGGCAGAGGGTTGGAGGGGAGCGGGGTTGGGAGGTGAGGAAATGGAGAGCAAATGCTTCTGCTCTGGACAGGTAGAGCTGTCCCTCAGGGGCCTGTTGAAGGGGTCGCTGCAGATAGCCTGGTTCCCCCTGCTTCCTAGGGGATGTGCAGAAACATCTGCCTGATGTTACAGGAGCTCTGCAGAAAATGAGAATAATACGAGGGGTGTGTATTCTCCATTCTAGGTTTTGTGGATGCTTGAACTTTTTTCAAGAAGCATGTATTACTGTGCAAGAAAAAACAACAAAGACAGAATAATAAACATCCCTTCAGCACTAAACAACAATAAAACCTCAACTCAGTGATGGAAATGGAAGTGAAAAGACAGAGCTTGGTAAGGAGGGTGGGTCCCACTCAAGAAACATCTGGCTAGGCCATCTGGTTCTCAAGTTGAGGTGTTAGGAAAAGATTCCTACTTGGGGAGGCCAGGGTGCATGAGGAATGGGGACAGAGATGAGTGCTACTACTGGGGAAGAGAGAGTGTGAGCATCCAGAGGCCTGCTGTGCTGATCAGGTGCCTGGCAGGCACTTAGAACTCCATTTCTCCCAAACTACTCCAATGCAGACTTTTCACTATTTATACACAGAAAACAAAGGAACTACTTTATGTGTGATGATCCAAACAAACAAATGAAAAATCAAACAAAAAATGGTTGTTCAAAGGGCAGAGTCCAGCTGTTATTCATTTAGGGCTGAGTTCCAATGACAGGGAGGGATGTTTGGTGACATCAGAGGGGGAGTGAGGTCAGACTCAAGCCCCCACACTCACTGGACTCTATATACCTCCTGGGAGGGGCTGGGGAGGTGGCTGGTTTCTCTTCTCTTCCTTAATTCCCCTGAATTAAACGGAGGTTAAGTAGGAAGGCTCAGAGGCCCCTCTAGTGCTGGAGAAGTCTTGAACACAGATTTGTTTACTTCCAGTTTATGATTGTACCATGATATGTCTTTATTATTCCTAGCATAGCACCTAATGAGCACTTACTTTTTTGTCTCCCTTTGAGTTTTGACACATTTCTACCTTGCTTTGAAGCTGTTCCAGAGAAGAATTTAATCCATCTGTTTGCAAATTGGACTTGGCTACCTAGAAAAAACAAGAGGTTCTGAGATTTATTTTTAGAAGCCTTATTTTAATCAGGATAATGTTCAGTGAAATGTACTATCTGAGAGATGGATTAAGTACTGGAAAAATGAAATCAGGAGGAAAAAGTGTAGTCTTATCAAAAACTAGATTAGTGCAAATTAAAAAGATTTTTTTACTATCACATAGATATGATTTAAAAATAAAATTGGCAATTCATAGTACTGGCTGAGGGTGTTAGGAGGAAACAGTCATCCCCTGCAGTAAGGGATGTCTCTATAAGCCACCTGGAAAGCAAAAAAAGCCTTAAAACTTTAATGTTTCAGCCCAGTAATTCTAGCTCTGGGAGATACCCTACAGACATAAGCAGAGTTTATTGTGCAAGCATATTTATTGCACATTGGCATCATAATAAGTGAAGGCCACCAAATATTCTTCCAAAAAGGAATGGTTAATAAAAAATGGCAGCACATTCAAGAGGGAAGTCATCAAAATGATGCTTTGGAAGAATTTTTAAGGACTATACAGATTAAAAATTGTATAAATATCAAAAAGCTAATTTTGTGCTTTGTGTATATATACAAACACATAAATATAACCCCCATCTTTCCATATACAGAAAAATGTTTAAAAATAAATATTTTTTCTGGCTTTATTGAGATATAAATGACATATAACATTATATAAGTTTAAGGTATACATCATGTTAATTTGATAATGCAAAATGATTACTACTATAGTGTTAACGAACATCTCCATCATGTCAAGTAATTACCATTTCTTTTTTGTGATGAGAACATTTAAGATCTACTTTCTTAACTTTCAAGCATATAGTAAAGTATTAACTATAATCACCGTGCTGCATATTAGATCCCTCAAACTTACTCATCTTATAATGAAGTTTTTACCCTTTAACCAACATCTCCCCATTTCCCACATCCCTCAGTCCCTGGTAACCACCATTCTACTCTTACTTCTAATGAGTTCCACATAAAAGTGATATCATACAGTATTTGTCTTTGTCTAACTTATGTCGTGAGCATAATGCCTTCAAGGTCCATCCATGTCATCACAAATGGCAGGATTTTCTTCTTTTTAATGACTGAATAATATTCCTTGTGTGTGTGTGTGTGTGTGTGTGTGTGTGTGTGTGTGTGTGCGTGCACACACACATTTTCTTTATCCATTCATCTGTTGATGGACACTCAGGTTGTTTCCATGCCCTGGCAACTGTGAATCATACTGCAATGAACACAGAAGTACAGACATCTCTTTAAGATCATGTTTTCACTTCCTTTGGATAAATAACCGGAAGTGGGATTGCTGGATTATATGTTAGTTCTGTTTTTATTTTTTGAGGAACCTCTATCCTGTTTCCCATAATGGCTGCACCAATTTACATTCCCATTAACAGTGCACAAGGGTTCCTTTTTCCCACATCCTCGCCACTTGTTCTCTCTTGTCTTTTTGATAATAATCATTCTAACAGGTGTGAGGTGGTATCTCATTGTCATTTTGATTTGCATTTTTCTGATGATTACTGATGTTAAGCCCCTTTTCAATATGGTCTCTTGGCCATTTATATGTCTTCTTTGGAAAAATGTCTACTCAGTTCTCTGCCCATTTTGAAAATCAGATTGTTTGATTTTTTTGGCATTGAGTTATATGAGTTCTTTACATACTTTGGATATTAATCTTATATCAGATATATTATTTGCAAATATTTTCTCCTATTCCAAAGGTTACCCTTTTATTTTGTTGATTGTTTCTTTTGCTGTGCAGAAGCTTTTTAGTTTGATGTTTGCATTTGTTGCTTGTGCTTTTGGTGTCATAACCACAAAATCATTGTCAAGACCGAAGTCAAAGAGCTTTTCATCATCTCTACTTCTAGGAGTTTTATGGCTTCAGGTCTTTAATCCCTTTGGAATTTAGAACTTCAATCCATTTCAAGTTTATTTTTGTGAGGTATAAGATAGGGCTCCAATTTCATTTCTCTGCATGTGGTTATCCAATTTTCACAACTGGCTAGTTCTAACAGTTTTTTTGGTGAGTCTGCAGGCAAAGACAGTTTTACTACTTCCTTTTCTATTTGAGTTTTACTACTTCCTTTTCTATTGAGAGATATCCTTTCCTCATTGAGTATTCTTGGTTTCTTTGTAAAATATTAGTTGACTGTACATGCAAGGGTTTATTTCTGGGCTTTTGATTCTGTTCCATTGGTCTATGTGTCTATTTTTATGCCAGTACCATACTGTTTTGATCATTATAGTTTGAAATCAGGAACTTTCATGCCTCAAGATTTGCCCTTTCTCAGGATTTTTTGGCTATTTATGGTCTATTACACTCCCATGCAAATTTTAGGATGGATATTTTCTATTTCTGAGAAAAATGTCATTGGAATTTTCATAGGGATTGCATTATCTATAGATGGCTTTGGGTAGTATGGACTTTTTAATAATATTAATTCTTCCAATCAATGAACATGGGACATCTTTCCATTTGTTTGTATCTTCTTTAGTTTCTTTCATCAAATTATTATAGTTTTCAGTGTAAAGATTTTCTTACCTTCTTGGTTAAGTTTATTCCTAATATCTTACTGTTTTCTTTGCTATTGTGAATGTAATTATTTTCTTTATTTCTTTTTCAGATATTTCATTGTTAGTATATAGAAATGCAACTTGATGATAATTTTGTATCCTGTAATTTTACTGAACATCACTGGCTAGTTCTAACAGTTTTTTTGGTGAGTCTGCAGGCAAAGACAGTTTTACTACTTCCTTTTCTATTTGGATGCCTTTTATTTCTTTTTCTTGCCCGCTTGCTCTGGCTAGGACTTCCAGTACTACACTAAATAGGTGTGGTGAGAGCGGGCACCTTGTCTTGTTCCTTATCTTAAAGGAAACACTTCCAGCCTTTCACTGTTGAGTATGATGTTAGCTATAGGCTTGTCACAAGTGGCCTATATTATATTGAGGTATGTTCCTCCTTTACCTAAGTTTTGAACATATTTGTCATGAAAAGATGTACATTTTTTCAAATGCTTTTTCTGCATCTACTGAGATGATCAAATGATTGTCATTTTTCATTCTATTGATGTGGTGTATCACACTGATCAATTTGCTTATGTAGGGTCATTCTTGCATCTCAGGGATAAATTCTACTTGATCAGGGTGAATGAGCATTTTAAAGTGCTGTTGAATTTTGTTTATTAATATTTTGTTGAGAATTTTGTGTTTACATTCACTAGGGATATTGGTCTGTAGTTTTTCTTTTCTTGAAGTGTCCTAATCTGGTTTTTATATCAGGATAATAATGTTGATTTTTAGTTATATTGCTTTGAGTAATATGAGTTTGGGAATGTTTTCTCCTCTTCTTTTTTTGGAAGAGTTTGAAAAAGATTGGCATTAAGTTTTCTTTAAATGTTCAGTAGAATCCACCCATGGAACTTGAAACAGTTTATTTTGATTAACTATGTTAGTCCTCAGAAAACCGTGTTAAGCAAGTACTATTTTAACACCCATTTTAGAGAAACTGAAACAGAGAATAAATGTTTTAGGCAAGAACACAGAGCTCTTAAATTTGTTCTGGGCTTTTCTTTGTTGAAAGGTTTTGGTTACTGACTCAATCTCCTGATTTATCTTTAGTCTGTTCAGATTTCTTATTTCTTCATGATTAAGTTGTGATAGGTATGTTTCTAGGAATTTATCCATTTCTTCTAGATTTTCCAATTTGTCAGCATATAACTGGTCTCTTATGACCCTTGCATTTCTGTGGTATTAGTTGCAATGTCTTCCCTTTCATTTCTGATTTTATTTGAGTCTTGTCTTTTTTTTCTTAGTCTAGCTAAAGGTTTGTCAATTTTGTGTGTCTTCAAAAAACCACCTCTTAGCTTTGTTGATCTTTTCTATAGTTTCTCTGGTTTCCCTTTCATTCATTTCTTATCTGATCTTCATTATTTCCTCATTCTGCTAGCCTTGGGTTTAGTTTGTTCTTTTTCTAGTTCCTTGAGGTGTACAGTGAGGTTGTTACTTTGAGATTTTTGAATTGTGTTCACATTTTGGCTCCACCAGAAGAGCTCTATGTTCTTGCCTAAGTCGTGTAATTATTCTCTACCTCAGTTTCTGTATCTCTAAAATGGGTGTTAAAACAGTACTTGCCTCATACAGTTTTTCTGAGGACTAACATAGTTAATCAAAATAAACTAGTTAGTAGGATACATGGTGCATAATACCTCAGTGAATGTTAGAGGCTCTGTCTGGAGTGCAAGTCCCACGAGGCAGAGAGCACAGGAGTATTCCCAGCCCTGGACAGTGCCTGGCATGCAGGTGTGATAAACATCCACAGATAAAGAATGCATCTGTCCTACCTCAGACTTTATTTTCACTTGCAGATGTGTCAGCAACCGCTGGATTTTCTCTATGAAAATAAGGTCCACAGACAGGTTATGGAATTTACTTTCAAATTTGTTGATAATGTCATTGGCCTGTAAAGAAATATATAAAGTAAAGGAGGGGGCCTTGATTTGGAACTTTGAAAGCAGAGAGGGGCAGGCTTGATTAATGCTTGGAAAGGGGCCTTGACCAGCCCATCAGGCAATTTTTAAGGTGAACACTTTGTAATTGGTGTCCTGGGAGCCTGGCCACCTACCTGGTCCAGGTACTCACGCTCCATCTTCTCCATGTTAATCATTGTTAAACTCTCAACAGACTCTATCCGGGCAGCTTCCTTCTTCAGTTGGTGACACAGTGAGTCAATTTCTTCAGGAGAAAAGTTGCCTCCCTCTGAAAACAATCTGAAAATGATTTGGGAGAAAAAAAAGCCACTGATGAGACATGAAGCTTTCCACCCATTCCAAATACTGTGGTTGATAAGACTTTAGATTAAAAGTACAAGATCACAGAAAAATGAATGCAGATAGTTTAAGACTAGAAGCAGGGAAACAACCCAAATCTCCACAAAGGCATGAATGGCGAAACAAAATATCGTATACACATACAGTGGAATAGTATTGAGCCTTAAGAAGGAATGAATTCTCATATAGAATTGAAGATATACTAAGTGAAATAAGCTAGATACACAAAAGGACAAATATTGTATGATTTCACTTATAGCGGGTACCTAGAGCAGTCAAATTTATAGAGATTTGAGAAATAGAATGGTGGTTGCCAGGAACTCCCCAGGGGAGAGGAGAATGGAAGATAGTGTTTGATGGGTTCAGAGTTTCAGTTTGTGAAGATGAAAAAGTTTTGTAGATGGATGGTGGTAATGGTAGCACAACAATGTGAAAGTAATTAATGCCACTGAACTGTGCACTTAAAAATGTTTAAAGTGGACAATTTCATGTTGTATATATTTTATCACAATAAAAATATGAAGAGGGACACAAGACCACCTCTCAATAGAGAAAGAGCCTGCAGAAGCTCTGGATACTGGCTCCCACCTGCAGTGCTTGACAAATTCAATATTGGTGTAGCGAAGCTTGCCCAGGCTCTCCTCCAAATATTGGCGAAAACTGCGCAGGGAAACCTGGGTGACATCAATGTAGCTAAGCAGCTCCTGGTGCAGTGTGCTGCTGAGAGTGACCAACCTGGGGACATGGGAGGGCAGAGAGGTGACCTGGGACTGGAAAGGCAGCCAGGGAGGCTTCCTGAGCTCCACCACTGTGCTCAGCTGTGAGGCCACCAGAACCAGAGCCCATCTTCTCTGGGAAGGAGAGGAGGTATTAGAAGAAAGTTCGGAACACCAGTGTGTGCAGGACATAGTGTGGGACTCTCAGTGTACTCCTCTCTGGCCCCTGCCACCAAATTGGTAAAAGAATCCTTACGTGCTAGTGACCTTCACCTTCCCTCCAGCATGCTCTCCTTTTAGCTCCCAGCAGTGTGGCTCCTGAGCCCCAGTGCTCTCCCAAAAGAGCACCCTGCTCTTTCCACTTTACCCTCAAACCCACCCTAATCAGCTTCCTTTTAGGTACCTGACCACTGCACAGACATCTGTGAGGGCTTCTTACCCGTTACCTGACTGAGGCCTCCCTGAGCATGCAAGAGCCTCCATCTTAAATTCCTGAATGGCCTCCGTGGAACCCCTTTCTCTACCCTGAGCACACCCCCACCTCCAGCTGGGCCAGTGTGCCTTCCTGATGGGAGAATTCTGCTCTTTCCCCACCTTCCTCCATCCCAAGCAAGGGAACCTCCTCTCGGAAGCTCTTCCTGTCTCCCCCTGACAGAAGTGGTCTTCCTCACTGTACACATTTTGGGGCAGGTTGTTTGCATCCCCACACTCTGACCATGTGCACCCTTTTCTCTCTCTGGCTGCTCACCCATCTCTAGCCCCAAGTCCCCACCGAGAGAGTTCACACAGTTAGACTCCTACTTGTGTGAAGAGGTGAACTGAAAAGACAAGCTTGCTGAGGGGCCTGGAAAGCCCAACTCTTTTATCCACCAGGGAAGGGCCCTCCTTTGAGAACAGCCGCCTGGCCGGGATTTTAATGAGGGCAGGACAGTGACTATCAGGGCTCTTACTTTTGGCTCCTGGTGGCGTTCAACAACATGTGCTCCATGTCATGAATCTTTTGGTGGAAGTTTTTGCTCCTTGTGTTTTGCTCCTCTTGGAACTGGCAGAACATCAGCTTCTCCTTCCTCAATGCCTCAGAAACCCCAGCACAGTGGCTATCCAGCCGCTTTTGATGAAACAGAAGCTCAGCTGAAAAAGGATGAGGTGAGCTGAGGCACTCCCGGGATCCCAAGTTACCTCAGGCCATTCCTTTCCTGGAGAGTGATGGCTGCAGAGCAGTGACCATGCAGGGCAAGGTCCTTCGTCCTGTCCCTGCTTCCCCTGCCAGGCCTTGGCCTAGGAATGGCACAGACCTCAGAGGGGCCAATCTCAGACTACCCTATGGTCTCCAGCCAGAGAGGAGGCTCTGGGCTGTGAGCAGGGAGGTCCTTGCTGGTGGGGAATGCAGCAGAAGGGAACAATGCCTGGGAGATGGAGCAGCCTAGGGGAGCAATCCTAGCGCAAGTGGAATCTGGGAGGGTATTGGGGAGGGTGGAGATCTAGGTGAGAGGGTATAGGAGAAACAACCAGCACAAAGCCAGGCAGTAAGGCTTTGCACCTTTATTATCAGTGGCTCCTCATTTCCAGTGAGCTGGAATTCTGAAGGTGGACAATGAATTCTACAGGGGAGTAAAAAGAACCAGGATTTGGCTTCAAGAGCTCCATCATAGTCTTTTAGAGCTAGCAGATAGGCACAGATTACCCCATTGGCCTCCCTACTGCCTGGAATGGTGAAAACTGCTGTCATTCCTGCTCTGTCAGAAATGAATGGGATGACTCCACCCTTGATTTCCACATTGTTCATTGGGGCCAAGAAGCCAGGGAAGGGGAAGGAAACCAGCTTTCAGGGAGCATCTTTATTCATATTTGTATCTAATACATACATTTTCCAAATGAAGATAATGAGGCTCCAACGCCACACAGGTTTCCCAAGGCCACAAGCACTGGACCTCCAGGCTAGGTTGTCTGATTCCACAACTCTCACTGCTCCAGGCAATAGGAGGTTGGGTGAAATCCTTTGGGGCTTCTCTACGAGCTCTAAAGTCTTTGATGGAGCTTGAGGTATGACATGATTGAAAACCCAGAGATGTCATTGAAGGATCCAACTAAAAGTGTGCCCCCTTTAATGGAGCCCTCTGCCAAAGAGAGAAATGGCATCTCTTTTATAACCTGAAATTAATGACTGCCAACTTTGGAGTCTGTGGCTTGTATCAGGTGCTCACGACTTCTCACTGTAGTATTTCAAGGAGTTAATTACCATCGCCAATATCCCGTTCTGCAGATGAGGGAAGGATCAGAAGTTTGGTAATTCACCAAGAGTCACACAGCTAGAGAGGCTGAGTCTGATAACTCTGATTCTTGAGCTACAGACTTGTCTCTAGAGCATCTACTGTGCAGGTGTGTATTTGACAGGTGTGTGAGAAGATCTGGGTTCCATACAGCTAAAAAGGGCAATATTCTTTATTTCGGTATCTAATGCCCTCTTTTTAAAAAATAATTTTAAAAAATCTCAAATGAGGATTCAGAGTGCAAACTAGGGCAGCTAGTGAATGTGGAGCTCCGGTGGCACAGACACCATGGGTCTGGGGCAAGGCAGCCTTCCCAGACAAGGTCTGTACCTGCTCTGACATTATGGATGTCCTTTTCAATGTGCTCAGCTCTCAGGTGGTGCAGGTGCAGACGCAGCTCCAGTTCTGAATCCATCTCATCAATCTTGGTGGCCAAGATGACCCGGGCATTGAGAGCACACTGGTCAAACCACTTCTCTAGATGCTCAAAAAAGCCAGCTCGAACTCTGAGGGATAAACCAGTGAGTCAGCCCTGCCAGCAATCATGACCAGGGAGAGATCTTTCCATATCGATACATAAAGTGTTTCCCTCTTTCATTCTTTCTTCCTTATTTTATTTAACAACTATATTGTACTTACTTGTCTGGGTGAACCATCATTCATTTAGCCAGACCCCTATTGAAGGACTTGGGTGATTTCCAACTGTTTCTTCTTAAAAAGAAGGCTGCAATGAATAACCCTGTACATATGTCAAGTATAGAAGCATTTTACAGGATAAATTCCCTGAACTGGAATTGTTAAACCAAAGTCTAAAATATATGTGTGGTTATTGAAGTATGGCCAAATTGCTTCTATCACAAGGCAACTTGAACTCCCATCAGCAATGAATAATGGTTTCTATTTCTCCATAGTTTCAGACTGCATTGTCAAACTTCTGAATTTGACAATTTTGTCATGTTATGACTAAGACTGAGCATATTTTCATGTGTTCAATAGTACTTAATTAATTTTTCTGCCTACTATCCATTAATATCTATAACCCATTTCTCTATTGCATAGCTGCTTTTTTTCTTATCAATCTATATAGGAGCTCCTTTTACAGCATGAGCTCCTTTGACTGTAATGTGTGTTGCAAATATTTTTCCCACTTTACCACTTCTTCCTTTTTAAAATTTGTTTTGTTAAGATGTTGGTTGTCCCCAAATTTATCTATAGATTCAAAGCAATAAAAATTTTAAAAGCTCAGCAAATGTCTCTTATGGGGACAGATAAACTGATTTCAAGTTTATATAGAAATACAAATGGTCAAGTATGGTTGGTCAAGAAAATCTTGAAGAAGTCCAAGATTGGAGGACTTACACTACCAGATATGAAGACTTGGTATAAAGCAACAGTAATCAAGCAGGGTGAGGTGGTGATGCGAGGACAGACACATAGAGAAATAAGAGGCACACGGAGCAGTGGGAAGAGAGGAGTCTTCTCAAATGGCTTGGGCCAGCTGGTTATCCACATGGGAAATAAAAGAATCTGAATCCTATCTTACTCATAAATAAAAATCAATTCCAGGTGGATTTTACACCTAAATGGGGAAATTTAGAGCAATAATATTTATATTAATGACATAGGAGGATATTTTCATAACCTTGGAATAAGCAAAGATTTCTTAGGTAAGACAAAGTATACTAATCCTAATGAAAAAAATCATAAGTAGGACCTTATCAAATAAGAATTTCTGTTCATCAAAAGGTACCTTTAAGAGTTAAAAAGGCAAGCACAGAGAAGGGATGAATATTTGCTAGGTATGTACCTGACAAAAACCTCATATCGAGCATAGGAAACTAACTTGCATAAATTAAAAAGATTTAAAAACCCCACAAGAAAGAAGCAGGCAAAAGATTTGACTAGCCATTTCACAAAAAGAAAGCCAAATGCCAATAATTATATGTAAAGATGTACAGCATCATTACACAGCAGGAAAATTAAAACCACAATGAAATACCACTACAGATACACCAGAATGGCTAAAATAAAAACCACTGACAATACCAAAGTTGGTGAGGATGTGGAGCAACTGGAACTCTCCCACACTGTTGTAAGCTATTAAAACAAAATCTCTTATGAAAACTCTTTGGTAGTATCTCCTCAAGATGGACACATATAAAAACTCTACATCCTAACATTCCATTGGTAGTTATATATCTAACAAAGATGTATACATATGTTCACCAAAAGCCTTATACAAAATGTTCAGAGCAACATTGTTGGTATATCTCCAAATGGGAAACAATCCAAATGTGCATCAATAGGAAAATGGATAAGTAAAAAGGGTTCCATGTCTTATAATGTAACACTATGCAGAAATAAAAATGAACTAAGCCACAATCAGAAATATATATGGGAGAGAGGCTCAAGATGGTGGCATGAGTAGGGTGATGGAAATCTCCTCCCGAAACCATATATACTTTTGAAAATACAACATATACAACTATTCCTAAAAGAGAGACCAGAAGATACAGGACAACAGCCAGGCTACATCTACATCTGCAAGAACTCAGCATTTCATGAAAAGGGCAAGATACAAAGCCGTGACCCAGCAGGACCTGAGCACTCCCCCCACCCCAGCTCACCAGTGGGAGGAAAAGAATCAGAGTGGGGAGGGGGTGGAAGCACAGGACTGCCAAATAACCAGCCCTAGTAATCTGCACAGGGAGCACGGACACACATTGCATGGTTTACTGGATATTAGAGAAATGGAAAAGTAAAATCCGAGACAGAGACTACAAGCGGGTCCCCACAGCCTGCTCCCCTGGGACAAAAGAAAAGTGGGTACTTTTTAAAAGTCTTAAAGGGACAAGGGCTTAACAGCTGGACAAAATGATCCTAGCACACTCAGCCCAGTATGCTGGGAATCTTGAGGAACTTCAGGTACCCTAACCCCCTAAGGGGTAATACAGCCACAAAGCCCCCATGGCAATAAGCAGCCTACCATTCATTCCCCCTGGCCAGCACTGCAAGCAAACCGACTGACCCACCACAGCTGCAGAGCAGCCGGAGAACAGCCCCACCCAGAGCAATCACACAGAGTCTTCTCCCAGCATGCAGCTAACTGGGACAGACCCAGAGGCTGCTGCTGGCAGGTAGTTGCCTGGCACAGACAGAGGAAGCCGGAGCAAGGTCCGGAGGGCACAAAGTGGGGGTGCCATTCTCGCAGGAGAACACATCCGGTGTGGGCGCAACCACCCACAGGGCCATAGGCTATCCCGAGGGCCACTCCGCCCATGGCGGCTCAGGATATTATCCCATAGACTGCTCCCTGTGTGTGGGTAATCGACACAGGCAGTGGAGAAAGGCAAGGCAACCACCAAGCAGGAAGGGACTTTGTTCTCCCAGCTAACACATGCACCACCTGCCTGCAACCACTCCTATCACCATGAAAAGGCAGAAGAATCTGGTCCAGTCAAAAATCACTCACACAACCCCACAGAGAGGGCCTGGTGAGATAGATATAACCAGTCTTCCTGAAAAAGAATTCAAAATAAAAGTCATAACCATGCTGATGGACCTGCAGAGAAATATGCAAGAACTAAGGGATGAAGTCTGGAGGGATTTAACAGAAATGAAACAATCAACAGAAGGTCTTAAGAGCAGACTGGACGAGGTACAAGAGACTGTTAATGGATCAGAAATCAGGTAACAAGAATACAGAGAAGCTGAGGCAGAAAGAGAGCAAAGGATCTCTAGGAATGAAAGAATATTAAGAGAACTGCATGACCAATCCAAATGAAAAAAATATTCGCATTATAGGGGTACCACAAGAAGAAGAGAGAGGAAAGGGGATAGAAAGTGTCTTTGAATAAATAATTGCTGAAAACTTCCCCAAGCTGGGGAAGGAAACAGTCTCTCAGACCATGTAAGTCCACAGTTCTCCCAACACAAGGGATCCAAGCAGGACAACAACAAGGCATATAATAATTAAAATGGCAAAGATCAAAGACAAGGACAGAGTATTAAAGGCAGCCAGAGAGAGAAAATAGATCACCCACAAAGGAAAACCCATCAGGCTATCATCAGACTTCTCAACAGAAACCTTACAGTCAGAAGAGAATGGCATGACATGTTTAATGCAATGAAACAGAAGGGCCTTGAACCAAGAATACTGTATCTAGCACAATTATTTGAAGGAGAGATTAAACAATTCCCAGATAAGGAAAAGTTGAGGGTATTTGCTCCCACAGACCACCTCTACAGGATATTTTAAAGGGCCTGCTCTAGAGGGAAGCACTCCTAAGGCTAAACAGATGTCAACAGAGAAAATAAAATCACAGGAAAGAAAGTAGACTAACCAAATACTAACTAAAGGCAAAAATTAAATCAACTATCTACAAAAGCAGTCAAAGGAAACACAAAAGAGTACAGAATAAAACACCTAACATATAAACAATGGAGAAGGAAGAATAAGAATGGAGAGAAATAAAGAATCATCAGACTGTGTTTATAATAGCTTAATAAGAGAGTTAAGTTAGACAGTTAGATAGTAAAGAAACTACCCTTGAACCTTGGTAACCACGAATCCAAAGCCTGCAAAGGCAATAAGTACATATCTGTTGATAATTACCCTAAATGTAAATGGACTGAATGCACAAATCAAAAGACACAGTGTAATAGAATGGATAAAAAACCAAGACCCATCTATATCCTGCTTACAAGAGACTCACCTCAAACCCAAAGACATACACAGACTAAAAGTGAAGGGATGGAAAAAGATATTTCATGCAAACAATACAGAGAAAAAAATAGGTGTTGCAGTACTTGTATCAGACAAAATAGACTTCAAAACAAAGAAAATAACAAGAGACAAAGAAGGGCATTACATAATGATAAAGAGGGCAGTACAAGATGATATAACCATTATAAATATATATGCACCCAACACAGGAGCACTGACATATGTGAAACAAATACCAACAGAATTAAAGGAGGAAATAGAATGCAATGCATTCATTTTAAGAGACTTCAACATACCACTCACTCCAAAGGGCAGATCAACCTGACAGGAAATAACTAAAGACACAGAGGCACTGAACAACACACTAGAACAGATGGACCTAACAGACATCTACAGAACTCCATACCCAAAAAGCAGCAGGTTACACATTCTTCTCAAGTGCACATGGAACATTTTCAAGAATAGACCACATACTAGGCCACAAAAAGAGCCTCAGTAAATTTAAAAAGATTGAAATTCTACCAACCAACTTCTCAGATCACAAAGCTATAAAACTAGAAATAAATTGTACAGAGAAAACAAAAAGGCTCACAAACCCATGGAGGCTTAACAACATGCTCCTAAATAATCAATGGATCAATGATGAAATTAAAACAGAGATCAAGCAATATATGGAGACAAATGACAACAACAGAACAAAGCCCCAACTTCTGTGGGACGCAGTGAAGGCAGTTCTAAGAGGAAAGTATATAGCAATCCAGGCATATTTAAAGAAGGAAGAACAATCCCAAATGAACAGTCTAAAGTCACAATTATTGAAATTGTAAAAAGAAGAACAAATAAGGTGCAAAGTCAGCAGAAGGAGGGACATAATAAAGATCAGAGAAGAAATAAATAAAATTGAGAAGAATAAAACAATAGAAAAAATCTACAAAACCAAGAGCTAGTTTTTTGAGAAAATAAACAAAATAGATAAACCCCTAGCCAGACTTATTAAAAGAGAATCTACACACATAAACAGAATCAGAAATGAGAAAGGAAAAATCATGTCAGACACAACAGAAATACAAAGAATTATAGACAATACTATGAAGCCAGCATCACCCTAATACCAAAACTAGGCAAAGACCCCACCAAAAAGAAAATTACAGGCCAATATCCCTGATGAATATAGATGCACAAATACTCAACAAAATATTAGCAAACCGAATTCAAAAATACATCGAGAGGATCATACACCATGATCAAGTGGGATTCATCACAAGGATACAAGAATGGTACACATTTGAAAATCCATCAACATCATCCACCACATTGACAAAAAAAAATGGACAAAAATCACATGATCATCTCCACAGATCCTGAAAAAGCATTTGACAAAATTCAACATCCATTCTTGATAAAAACTCTCAACAAAATGGGTACAGGGGGCAAGTACCTCAACATAATAAAGGTCATATATGACAAACCCACAGCCAACATCATACTTAACACTGAGAAGATGAAAGCTTTTCCTCTAAGATCAGGAACAAGACAGGGATGCCCACTCTCCCCACTGTTATTCAACATAGTACTGGAGGTCCTAGTCACAGCAATCAGACAAAACAAAAAAATACAAGGCATCCAGACTGGTAAAGAAGTCAAACTGTCACTATTTGCAAATGACATGATATTATACATAAAAAACCCAAAGGACTCTACTCCAAAACTACTAGAACTAATATCTAAGTTCAGCAAAGTTGCAGGATACAAAGTTTATGCACAGAAATCTGTTGCATTCCTATACGCTAACAATGAATTAGCAGAAAGAGAAATCAGGATAACAATTCCATTCACAATTACATCAAAAATAATAAAATACCTAGGAATAAACCTGAACAGGGAAGTCAAAGACTCTATACGCTGAAAACTACAAGACACTCTTAAGAGAAATTAAAGAGGACACTAACAAATGGAAACTCATCCCATGCTCTTGGCTAAGAAGAATTAATATTGTCAAAACGGCCATCCTGCCTAAAGCAATCTACAGATTCAATGCAATGCCCATCAAAATACCAACAGCATTCTTCAATGAACTGGAATAAATAATTCTAAAATTCATATGGAATCACAAAAGACCCCAAATAGCCAAAGCAATCCTGAAAAGGAAGAATAAAGCAGGGGGGATCTCGCTTCCCAATTTCAAGCACTACTACAAAGCCACAGTAATCAAGACAATTTCGTACTGGCACAAGAACAGAGCCACAGACCAGTGTAACAGAATAGAGAGTCCAGATATTAACCCAAACATATATGGTCAATTAATATATGATAAAGGAGCCATGAACATACAATAGGGTAATAACTCCTCTTCAACATCTGGTGTTGGCAAAACTGGACAGCTACATGTAAGAGAATGAAACTGGATCATTATGTAACCCTATACACAAAAGTAAATTAGAAATGGATCAAAGACCTGAATGTAAGTCATGAAACCATAAAACTCTCAGAAAAAAACATAGGCAAAAATCTCTTGGACATAAACATGAGCAACTTCTTCATGAACATATCTCCCGGGCAATGGAAACAAAAGCAAAAATAAACAAGTGGGTCTATATCAAGCTGTAAAGCTTCCATACAGCAAAGGACACCATCAATAGAATGAAAAGACATCCTACAGTATGGGAGAACATATTCAAAAATGACATATCCGATAAAGGGTTGACATTCAAAATATATAAAGAGCTCATGCGCCTCAACAAACAAAAAGCAAATAATCTAATTAAAAAATGGGCAGAGGATCTGAACAGACACTTCTCCAAAGAAGAAATTCAGATGGCCAACAGGCACGTGAAAAGATGCTCCACATCCCTAATCATCAGAGAAATGAAAATTAAAACCACAATAAGATATCACCTCACACAAGTTAGGATGGCCACCATCCAAAAGACAAACAACAACAAATGTTGATAAGGATGTGGAGAAAGGGGAACCCTCCTACACTGTTGGTGGGAATGTAAACTAGTTCAACCATTGTGGAAAGCAGTATGGAGGTTCCTCAAAAAACTCAAAATAGAAATACCATTTGAGCCAGGAATTCCACTTCTAGGAATTTACCCTAAGAATGCAGGAGCCCAGTTTGAAAAAGACATATACACTCCTATGTTTATCGCAGCACTATTTACAATAGCCAAGAATTGGTAGCAATCTAAGTGTCCATCAGTAGATGAATGGATAAAGAAGATGTGGTACATATACACAATGGAATATTATTCAGCCATAAGAAGAAAACAAATCCTACCATTTGCAACAACATGGATGGAGCTGGAGGGTATTATGCTCAGTGAAGTAAGCCAGGTGGAGAAAGACAAGTATCAAATGATTTCACTCATGTGGAGTATAAGTACAAAGAAAAAAACTGAAGGAACAAAACAGCAGCAGACTCACAGAACCCAAGAATGGACTAACAGTTACCAAATAACAGTTACCAAAGGGAGAGGGACCGGGGAGGATGGGTGGGAAGGGAGGGAGAAGGAAGAAAAAGGGGCATTACGATTAGCAGACATAATGTAGTGGGGGGGACATGGGGAGGGCTTTACAGCACAGAGAAGACAAGTAGTGATTCCATAGCATCTTACTACACTGATGGACAGTGACTGTAATGGGGTTTGTGGGGGGGGACTTGATGATGGGGGTAGTCTAGTAACCATAATGTTGCTCATGTAATTGTAGATTAATAATACCAAAAAAAAATCTATCATCTATCTATCTATCTATCTATCTATCTATCTATCTATCTATCTAAATGAAACTTACATAATGAAAGAAGTCTCACATAAAAGAGTGTGTTCTGTATGCTTCTATTTAAATAAAGTTCAAAAACAAGTAGACCTAATTCAGAAGTTAGAATGTGTGCTATCCTTGGAGAAGAGAGGCGGCAACTTGGAATGGGTACATGAGGGGGGCTCCTGAATAGGTGGTCAAGTTTTGTTTCTTGTGGGTACTGGTTACCAGGTGAGCTCCCTTTGGATATTTCATTGAGCTACACACTCATGATTTCCATACTTTTCAGTATTTATGGTTATCATGCCAAGTCTAATCAGTTGAACACAGAACTATTTTTATGGTTAGTCCCAAGGCCATATGGTATAGTGTTTGGTTCAAGACTCTGGGAATTGCAGGGTCTAAATCCATACCCTGCATCTAACTACTTCCTGTCTCAGAGATCTTGTCCAAGTTACTAACTCTCTGAGTTTCAGTTTCTTCACCTGGAAAATGGGATAATTATGGTAGCCCTCTCATGGTTACTGAGAAGCATTAAATCCTCTCAATAAGTATTAGCTGTAGTGGGGTCCTTGTTTTCCTTCATTCTATGGGCTATGGAGAGGACAGACAATGGCCTTTGGAAGAGGATGGAAAAGAACGAGGTTTGCATTGAGACATTTTCAAGGTGAGATGAGGCTGAGGAGAAGAAGAGTCTGGAGGCTTGAATCTTCTTCTACACCCTACTTATGTGTAAGCATGGGAGGTAGACTAACCAGGTGATCTCTAGTCATTTTAGCCCTAACTATGATATTATGGAGCTGGGAGGGCAATGGAAATGCTATCCTAAAACTGAATGCAAATTTTCACATTCCAAAATGCAAACATGAAGGCCCAGGAACTTAGGAGTTAGGAGATACAAATTCTCAGGGGTAGATTTATGGGCCATTTCTATATTCTTTGTTACATTTTTTTCAATTTTCTAATTTTCTGCAATAAATGTGTCACATAATCAGAGCTAAATACCATACTGATACATGTATGGTCTCTATCTATATAATTACAAAAAAAGACAAAAAGAAATCCTAAGATTACAGGTATGCCAAGATCTAGAACCCAGAAACATCTTGCAGAGAAAATACTATTTATTATGCATGAGGCCCAAGCCCGCAAGGCATTCTGGAGCAGACAGAGGGTGTCACTCTCACAGAGCATTTCTGTGACAGCTAATAATTCCCAGACATTTGCTATTTTTTATTGTGTTTCTCATCTCTACTCTTATTTACCTGCTCTTTCCTCCAGCTGAAATGAGTCCAATCTTTTGTTATATTATTTCACCTTGCTAATAAAACTGAGGACAAGAGAATGAGGATAAAAGAGTTTTCTACTCACTGTTTCTTAATTTCTACAACTAATTTGGATGGAATAATCACTTGTTGTATGAACTTGGCACTGGTAGTGTCATTGATGAGAATGGCAGAAAGTCTGGAATGCAGTCTCTTGCAAATCTCTTCTTGTTCCAAGGGTAGGAAGACAGAATAAGTGTTCCCACTGGAGGTTGTGAATGATTCCAAGTCCTCAGGGGAGGCCTCCTTCATACTCTCTTTCTGGACTTTGACCTAAGTGAGAAACAAGACTTTAGACTTGACATCATCAAACAGAACTGGGGATCCCAACCACAGATTTCTTGATGTCAGAGGTTTTAAACCTGTGGGCCATATCTTACCTGTAATTGCTTTTGTCCATATAGTGCTTTTAAAATCAGGAAATTCCATATATAATCTGGATTTCTGATTTATTTTAAAAAACCAGAAAATGTGGCAATTTTGAGTCTACATTCCTAGATGGAATTGTTGACCGGAGCTGAGTAGTGACTGCACAGTAACTGGATGTAAAGAGTAATAGTAATGATTAATGGAGTGAATGCCGTTGGCCATTCCTCCAAAATTCGTATCCCTAATGTGTTGGTATTTGGAGGTGGGCCATTAGGAGGTGATTAGGTCATGAAGAAAGACCACTCATAATGGGATAAGTGCCCTTATAAAAGAGTCCACAGAGAGCATCCTTACCCCTTCTACAACATAAGGACACAGTGAGAAGACAGCCTTCTGCAACCCAGGAAGGGGACCCTCACCAGACACTGAATCTGACAGTGGCTTGATTTTGGACTTCCCAGCCTCAAGAACTGTGAGAAACAAATTTCTGTTGTTTATAAGCTGTTCAGTCTATGCTATTCTGATATAGCAGCCTAACATGCACTAAAACAATAGTCTTCACCATTTGTCAATATTTTAGACTTTTCTATTACATGCCTGTGGGCATTTGAATTTGGGATCCCTGATCAAAAAGAAGCCTCATATGTCAATTCTTCTACAGCAACACAGGAAAAGAGTCTTCTGCAATTTCATGATTATGGAATTCAGGTTACTTATCTGTGAGGTTGAATGTGTTTTGAGGACAAAATTTATTAATATGAGAGTCACTTCTGCATCTAAGGAGAGCTGCCTGCCAACTTGGATACAGGTCTTTTGTGTTACACAACCAGAGAATGGAAGAAGAGAAATAATGGAGAGGCCAAGTCCATCTACACAATAAAGAGTTTCTGGGAAACAGAAAGGACCAGAGAAGGACGAGGAAAGCCATGTAGTTTAGGGGTGACTTCAGAGTAGGACGCAAGATGTTAGGAGATGAAAGTGAATTTTAAAAAGCATTTCTATGAGATAAGAACTGGATTCTTGTTGACAGAAATAAAAGGTGTAAATACATTTGTAATGCTTCATATGCACTCCAATGGAGACTGCACCCCTGGGGACCCCAACTTATATTATGGATACACAGACTGAACATAGCACACTTCCCCCAAACCCAAGAATGAATCCATTGCTGGCCTACCTCATCCATAGATAAACTCTCGTGTTCTTCTTTTTCCTCCACCTCTTCCTCTTCATTCTCTTCTTCCTCCTCCTCCTCCTTTTCCCCCTTCACCTCTTCCTTCTCCATCTCCTCTTTCTCCTCCTCCTCTTCTTGAACCATCACATTTTCCTGGTTCAGGGGTGGTTTTAAAGAGCTGTCTCCTTCAAACTGCGTTTCTTCTAGTCTCTGAATGGAGCCCTCTCTGGACTCGTCTATCTCATCACTCAATACAACTGGTTCCCGCTGGCTTACTACCACGTCTTCAGGTGTGGAGGACTCGATATCTTGGCTTTTTTCTTCTTTGGTCTCCCCTGCTGCCCTGGGGGAACTTGTTCCTGTACTTATGCTTTCCTCACTGTTGCTCACTTCCGCTTTAGCCTCTTGTTTTCTGCTCAGTTTTCTTACTGTCTCCTGGAAGTGCTTTTCATGTGGCTCTGTTGATGACCAACCCCAAAGCACAAGGAAAATCTGGTTAGCAATGTAGCTGAGATTGGGCCTCCAGACCCACCAACATACAGGAGTGGAGTCAAGAGAGAATCACACTTGAATTGTACAAGTGTTACCTGGATCCCTGCAATTGAAAATGACTTCTCCATCCAAGCTCTACAAGGAAAAAACACAGGACACTGAGTGAGCGATGCTGCCTTCTTCCAGAATGCTACTTCTGAGGGTATCTCTTTAAATAAAAGGAAGCATCCCTCCCCTTCAACATCTGATGCAGGCCTTGATGACTTGTTTCTCTGGGGTAAAGAGGGCCTTCCCAATTCAGGGGAATTAGTTTTTCTTAATCCCAAACAGGCTAGCAAAACCTTTCATCATTCTTGATACATTTTTGGTAGCAGTCTGGGGCAAAGAGCAAGAAAATATAAATTGAGAGATTGAAACAAACGGTCAGGAATCTGCTGCATCCAGTACTGGATGTGAACATACAGAATAAACATGATTTACATGATCTGGGAAGCCTCTCATTACCCCTACAAATTCCCTGTCTCAGACTCTGGATACAGTTCTGGATATGCTGTGTCATGTATAACAGTGTGGGCGTGGATTTGCAGGTCTGGACTTGAATCCCAGCTCCTTACAGGCCAAGTGACCTTGGGCAAGCCCCGTAAACCCTACAGATCTGAGTGTCCTCTCTTGTGACATGGAGATCATATCAGTGTCTCTGCTTTAACCCAGGCAAGCAGATTGGTCTCATAGGGCAGACAGTGAGCTCAGTCTCCTACAGTTTCAGCTCTACCTCAACCCAGGAGCCTCAAGGAGCATTTACTAGCAATTGGAACAGGGATCCCTGCCAAGGGTGGGGGCGGATTCTTGAGGGGCCAGGGACCCCACATACATGAGAAAGCCCTGGCAAGTTTCAGAGTCAACCACAAGTATTTTCATTTCTGACCATGCAGGACTCTGGCTGGGTGTGTGGGAAAAGACCCAAACTCTGGGAGTGAGACCAGAACATTCCAGGAAGTCATGTATTTACCCAGGGAGCATTCATTGCATCTGTTCTATGTACAAGACACTGTGCTAAGGGCAACCAAAGGTGGATGAAAATTGGTAAAGCATCCCTGCCCTTCAGGAAACACCTTCTATGCGTGCTCTGAGTTACGGAATTTGACAGTAGCCAATGTACAGGCACATTCAGAGAGGCGAGAGAGTGGAAGGTGAGGTGAGGGGTCAGGCTGAGTGCGTGGGATCCTTGTCACTGATAGTGGATTGGAAGTGTGGGTGGTTTGGGGATGTGTGCAGATGGAAGGATCAATCCCAGCAGAGAAGCAGGATGAGGAAGGGTTGGGGGCTGGGGGCATACACAGGAAGTTTGCTGAAGCAGGGACAGTCAAGGTGGGGCCCTCTGAGGTCATCCAGGGACCATCATGGGTTAATTTGGTAGGGGCTACAGCACTGGGGAGGGACTTCTGAGTAAGGGAGTGGGTGGGTCTGAGTTATATTTTAGGAGGGTTATGTGGCAGTGGTGGGTATGATGAATGGAACTCAAAGTATCACATAAATTAACCTTTTTATTATAATTCTATGCAAGCCTTGAGGCCTGAATTCTGAGTCCATCAATCTCTTAATATGAAAAAGAAATGATCTCTTTTAGAAATGCTTTCAGCTCCTTACCCCTTGATGTCCTGACATAGATTCTAACTCTGCAAGAGTTTGGGAGGTACTCAAAGTCAAGGCAGAGCAGAATTAGACAATGATCTCTCCTTTGCTTCCTAGAGAGTGGCTTTCTTTTGCTGTCATGGTCCATACCTGTTCAAAGATTTCACGAACATAGAAGTGTTGGCTGAGGGTGGAACTGTAGGAGTTGAGTTCCTTCAGTATGATCACTGGGTACTCCATCACTTCCTTCATCAGGAGATTGTGAAAACACTCATACCTGAGGGGTAAGTAGGTGAGACCATAGTCTAAGGGGAGCTGGCCTGAGGGCAGGAAACTGCAGCCAAGAGCCACACCCTGGGCCCTGTGGAGGTGGACTGAAATTCAGCATTTAACTCCATACAGAGCTGCTGGGGAGGTTTCTTTTTACAACAATCTTTGGTTTGTTTTGCTATTTTTCTGATCATATAAGGGATATATACTCGGTAGAACATTTGGAAAACACACACAAGAAAATTCTTTGCCTGTTGTAACGTGGGCTCCCATTTCACGTCCACTATCCTAACCCTGTCTTTGAACTTTACCTACATTATCCCATCGAACCCTCCAAGGTCTAGACATTATCTGTTTCCCAGGTAAGGAGATCAAGGTTCCAGGGGTTACTTATTTACCTCAAAGAATACTTCTGAATCTAAGTACTGCTGTCAACTGGCAGTACAACTCCATTTCTGTTAATGGTCCTTGCAGAATTAGTTGTAAAAAGGCACAAAGATACAAGATAGTTCAGTGAGAACTGTTTTTAATATTGAGAGACTGGAACCAGTCTTAAAAAGATAATCATCTGAGGTATGGTTAAATCATTATGAAGCACCCATATGAATGAATTCTACCTGGTCATTTAAAAATGGACATATATCGACATACATCTGTAGTAACAGAATAATTTGCATAGCAGGATCCTTTATGTGAAAAGCACTATATATGTGCATATATCCATATATAGGTGTGTATGTCCATAAAGAGGAAGAGTTGGGCAGGAATTAGGGGGAAATTTCTACATGTTTGTATTAGCCAACATTTTTTTCTTTAGCAAAGAGCATGTATGTTTTAACATTTAGAAAGGTAGGGGAGGTCCCATGCTCTTGGCTTGTAACCTTGCAACCTCCCTGCAAAAATCTTTCAGATCACAGTTCTCCCTGTGAGCCTCTATGCTGGCTGAGAGCAGAGCTGCAAAGGACGACAACACTCTCCAAACTCAGAGGCAACATTTTAATCTTTAGCCTGTTGGACACCCCACACCCTTGACCTCCTAAGCAGGCAGCCGCTGACCTTGAATATGAATTCCAGGCCATCTCCTTATGCCTTTGGGGCTCTAGTCTGCCTACCTGCATTTCATATTCTTCAGCAAGTCTTTGGCCTTTTCCAGGTGAAACTTCAGTGTTTCCTCATTGTTTTGCTGCCTCAGTTGGTCCAAGAGCTTATCAAGGTGGGCTTCCTGGGCCTGGCAGCCACCCCCAAAACAGGAGGAAGCAGATGTGAGACACCAGAGCTTGCAGAATGTCGGGCACATGCAGAGCCCCTGCTGCTGGAAATGAGGTGCAGATAGCCTGGGGCAGGCCCTAACGAAAAGGGGCACCAAAGGTCCACCACTCTTACTCTCACTGCTCTGGGCCTCCAGGCCTTCTCTCTGCTTGGAATGTTCTTCTCTGTCTAGTTCACATTCCTGGAGACCCAGCTCAGATGGGACTCCTCAGGGGCACGGCCCTCACACCCACCCCACCTGGGCAGTTCCCCGGTACACTTCCCTGTGGCCCTTGCTCCTGGCTCTACCCCTCACCAGTCATACTTAGAGTCAGCTACTGAGTGTGCCTCTCTGCTCCCTGGACTGGGTGAGGGCAGGTGGGGGCGGGGTGGCTGCCAGAGAGAGTGCCCCACATCCGTCTGTCTGGCTTTCATGCACACTCTTACAGACACATTTGCATCCAGGGAGCCATCACACAGCCCGGACCTGACTCGGGAAGATTTCTTCTACCCAGATCCAGTCCCATGGCCAAGGTGAGCCTCAATTTCCCCAACTGTTCAAATTTCATAGCTTAAGGTTTTACATTTGAGTCTAGAAAACAGTTAGGGTTATGTTATTTATGGTGTGACATATGGATCAAAGTTGTGTTTTTTGTTGTTTAAGATCTGAATACTGGCTGAGTTCCTAGGCCACCAAGCAGAGCTACTGGACAGCTGACAATCTGGGTGTGGCCTTTTCCTCATCCCCTGCTGGGGCTACCCTGGATGCTGGGGCCTCACCTGGGCCTCCAGGCTGTGCATCTGCCACTGCTGCTCCATCCTCTTCTCGAGTTCTAGGTCCTGTACCGACAGCATGTTCTGATGTGTCTCCCACAGCTGCAAGGCCTCCTGGAAGTAGCTGAAAAGGTCTGTACACTGCCATTCTGTCTGCTTTGCCAGGGCCTCAAAGGATTTCTGCGGTGGCAGAACCCAGAGAAAGGGCCTTGAGTGCTGACTGGCCCAGGGTGAGGAGGAGGGCCCCCCTTGCCAGGGCTCCCTCAGTGTCTCCATGGACGTGTCACGTGTGTCTCACTGCCTGGTCACCAACCATCAATGTCATCTTCAGGGCCACACTTGGGCTCATGGCCCTCCTTCCTCTGGGGCAGTGTTTTTGTCTGCCCAAGGCTATGCCCTCAGTCTGGTTACCCCTGAACTCTCATCTCTAGACCTGTCCCATGTCCCCTGAAGTCACTTACAGGAGGAACATGCAGTTTGGGGCCTGGAAGAAAGGAGCAACCCAGCACGAGCTTGGGCCCACAGTAGGCCACACCCTGCTCAGCCTGGGATCTGACTTCCCTCACTCTCTGCATCTGAGCCAAACACACTTGATGTCAAATCCTCACCTCTCCCCCTTTTATATGGGTGTTTTTTATGCTTTCGTCAGGGTCAGGAGTTGGCAAACTTGGCTTGTGGACTAAATTTGGCACTCTGCCTTTTTTTGTTTGGCCCTGGGAGGTAAGCACAGATTTCACATTTTTAGGCAGCTGAGAAAAAAATCAAAAGAAGACATTTAATGATGTGAAAATTATGTGAAATTCAAATTTTAGTGCCCACAAACAATGTGGTACTGAAACAGCCAAATCCGTTTGTTTCTGCATCGCCTAAGGCTGTTTTTGTGTGACTACAGTAGAGAAAGAATTTGTCACAGAGACCTGATGGCCCACAGAGCCTAAAACATTCACCATCTGGCCCTTTACAGAAAACACTTGCTGACCCTTGCTCCATATTCTAGCGTCTTGAGGTGGGGGCCTATTGTTCCTTGTGGCCCTTCAGCGCCCAGATTCAGCAAGGGCTCTAGGAAGCATTCCCTGACTGAGCCCTGCACAGCACAGGAGTCAGAGGGCAGCTGGGGAGTCAGGGGTGAGCCGGAGTGCCCAGCACAGAGGGACTGTTTTGGAGGGGCAGGCCATGACGTGGGAGATGGACTTGCTAGTGACAGGAAAGTTGGGAGGCCCCCTGCCTCCTGTTTTCCTCACAGCCCAGCACCCCAGTGATGCCCTCCCTGCTCCCCAGTTGCACAGGTCCCCGGCTACTCACGTCCAGTAACTCCAGCTCCTCCTCTGCGTTGCGCTGGAGCACTTCCACCATCTGGAGGAACGACGGGTTTACCAGGCTCTCTGCCTCCTCCTTGGTGAAGACTTTCCAGTCCAGCAGCTGCTTCTGGAGTGGGACACAGCACAGCCTGGCTTGGGACTGGCAGGGGCTTCACCTCGGGGCCAGTCCTGCCCTCTGAGATCCGCCTATCACCTGCCCCCGGGAACCTCAGGGAAACCCTCTCGGTGGCAAAGCTGGTCCATCTTTATAGTCTTTTCATTCTGTCCAGGTGCTGTGTTCTACCTGTTACCTCACTGAATTCCCTGAAGGTGTTCTCATTAGCCCCATTTGATAGACAAAGAAACTAAGGCTCAAAGAAGTGAAGGAACACACTTTTAGCGAGTAGTGGGGTCAGGATCTGAACTCAGCACTATCCTACTGCAGACCCTACAGGAATCAACCATCATCCTACATAGTCTGAAAGTCAGTCAGGGCTCGCACTTCCTGGAACTGAATTATGCTAACTGGAAAGTGAGCGTTCTGTTAATAAAGCCTTCATTGATGAACAAATCTAACATAAACCAACCTCCCCTGAGCCAAAACTTGTCTACAGTGGCAAAGCGCCAATGCTGCTGAACAGAAAGCCAGGTGCCTGTCCTCCATCAGGTGTAATGTGCGCCTGGGGTGTGTGATGACTTCAGCACAAGGGGAGGAAGGAAGAGCACAGGATGTCAGCATTCAGGGCCAAATGGCCATCAGGCTCTGGGAGGTCCAGGCGGCAACAGGCAGCGGAAGGGGAGTACTGGGGGCCAGGTACTGGGGAGGCTCTCCTAGGGCAAAGGTCTCCCTCCCCTCTTTCCCTCCAGTCTTTATTTCTAAGATTTCACACCCCTAAAGAGCTGATGAGAAGCACATGGCTGCCCTGAAGGCCACAGAACAATGGGCAGCGTCTGGGCCTTTTGTGAACTCGGTCCTCTCGTCTCCAGATGGGCCTGGTGACGTACAGCCGGCAGAGACGTGTGCAAGTGGGTGTCACAGCCCGCAGGGGCAGCAGCGCCCAGCCCATGCATCACACTGGGGCACTCTACTCTCCGGGAGTTCTGCTCACCTCGGAGTCTGGGTGGCAGACTAAAAGCCTGACAGGAATTTGAGGGGTGAAGTAGCAGGAGCTTCTTAAGACCAACAGGCAGGGGTCCCCAAGGAGCTTGGGGACCCCTGTTACCACCAGTAGGTTAGACCATCTCCAAAATGATTAGAGTTTTTTTTTTATCTAATCAGTTTTACCAAGGAGGAAAGGAGGGGGCATTTTGACAAAATATTTCCTTGTACCCCAGAATACCGGGCATTGTAATTGAAGGAGTTTGTGAGTGAACTCACTGTCTCACCTCTAACAGGTGGGGCAGAGTGGGGAGATAAGGTGGGCATGACAGTAGTGGCAACACTATTTATAAAGTGAAGCGCTGGAAACAATCCCCAGTGATAGGATTTTCACTAAATAAATAATGTCAAGTGCCATAAATGATACCAAGGGTCAAGGGTGAAGTTTGAGCCAAATCAGAAAATGTGTAATTTCATCTGTGGGATCAGGGAAGGCTTCCTGGAGGAGCCCTCAAATGTTGGGCTGCAATTTGAGGGATGGGTGGGAATAGCTGGGGAGGAAGGTCCAGGCAGAGGGAACAGCTTTAGAATGCCCAGAGACTAGTGAGAGCCTGGGGCATGTGAGGAAGTAAAGCAGGGGATCTGGGCTGCAGAGGGGTAGTGGTGGGCCAAGGAGGGAACATGGGGTCCCTTACCCTTTGTTCATCAACCCCAGCCTGCCATGAGGAGCACCTACCTTGTACTTCTGCACCTGGGCCAGGCACTCCTGCCAGGTCTTCTCATACTGCAAGCGGATCCGCAGCATGCATTCCACATGGTACGCATCTCCATGGGCAGAAACAAAACATGTCAGCTGCTTTTCCAGAAGGAAGAGGGGAGATTAGAAAGAGGAGTTTCCCCTTTGCAAAGGGGGGCAACTTCTCCCCAGCAAAGTACCTGGATAACAAGGATAATTTAGGTGAGATAAGTGGTCCCAATTCTGATCAGGGGCTGGACTCTCCCTCCTTACAAAGTTCCTGACACCCCAAGATAAGGACCTCAAATGAGGAGTCTTCTTTATCTGTTCTGAATCCATTCTGACCTTGATTCTTGACTCAGCTTCAAGACTGGTGAAATTCTTTTTGGAGAGTTGTATCAAGTCATAGATCAGTAAAAAGGGTGTAAATTAATGAGAGTTTACATATGGTAACTGTAGTTAATTCCTTAGAAAGTGAATGGATTAGAAGAATACTCAGAAGCTGACTCATTTTCTCCTCTTCCCTCTTGCTACTGTTTCCCAGTTTATAATCAACTCAGTGTGATTCCTGGTGTCTAAGATAAGCAACTGAAGTTCCTGGCAATTCTAGAAGCTGAAAGACAACACAAAGATTTTGTGATGGTGGTTCTTTGATAAGTGCTGGGGAGGAGGGCAGCATGGATGGCAGTTGGGTATAGATTTAGGACTCTAGGAGGGTAGATAAGCAGGGGAACTAGCAAGGACAAGCTCTAAAGCTGGTTTCTCCCAGGGCATTTCCTAGACCACCACATCCCTACCCTTCCCATGAAGTCACCGCACTCCCGGGGTCTGTGTTTCTACTCCTGTTCCTCTCTCTAGCCTCATCACTCCTAACTCAAAATCTTCCACTGAGTTCCCACTGCCCTCAGGATGAAGTCCAGCCTCCCCTACACAGCCACATGGCCAGCACAGTCTGACCCATTGGCATCTCTGAGCCTCCCTGCCATCTTTTCCTTTCCCTAAAAGCCCAGCCCTATCCTGCTTCTGAGCTTCCTCACATGCTCTACTTCCTGCCTGAAAAGCTCCCCTGATCCCTGCACTTGGCTAACTCTTACTTGCCTTGCAGGTCTCAAGTGGATGGTCACTTGCTTGGTGAGACCTTACAAGACCTTTAACCAGGCTGTATCCCCAAAAAACATGCTGGTCACCTGTCCACTCCCTGCTGTAACATTCTGCATGGTCTAACTTCTCTGGACTGGTAACAGCCAAGGGATGATCCTCTCTGCTGGGTACCAGGGCCCCAGCACCACACCTGTCCCTAGAAGGCACCTGGCAAATGGCAACCATGGCTACTATTTAAGGTCTTGGGGCTCTTACCTTTGGCATTATAATATAATTATACTATCTTTGCAACTGTAAACCTGAGAGCCCTGGCAGCCATGGTGGGTGCTACAAACCAAAGTACCCAGGTCAAGTCCAGCTGTAACATTTCAATAGCTGTGTGATGTTGTGTGGGATACTTCACCTCTCTGTGCTGTAAGGTCTCTGTTGCAACTACTCTTTTCTGCTGTTGTAGAGCAGAAGAAGCCAGAGACAATACCTAAACAAATGAGCATGGCTGTGCTCCAATGAAATTTATTTGCAAACAGGCAGTGGCCCATGGGTGGGAGCTTGAGGACCCTTGAAATAGAGCATTTTTAAACATTCCTATTTATTATTGGGCACTCTCCATGTAAGCCAGGAGCTGAATGACAACTGGACTGCAGGATTGCATGCAGTTCTCATGCCAGCCCCACCATGGAGGTACTTTCATTATTCCTCTTGAGATTGCTATTGTATGGGGCAGAAAGTTGAGGCCAAGACAAGCCATGACTTCCCCAAGGTCACAGAGCTGGGTGTCAGACCTATGTCTGATTGCCAAATCATGTGCTTGGACCTGGCCCTGAAGCTATCCTCTCAGTGGGTCATCAGGGCCATCCCTGTGGCTCCACACTAGAGTCAAGGTTCAGGGGTCAGAGTGTGCAGCTGGCATTCCTGCCAGCCAGGCAGTGCCTGGGAGGCTGACGGAGGGAAGAGGGGGCTCTGCCAGGCAAGGTCTTGGAGGTCTGACATGAACCACCAGAGAATACTCTTCCATCTACATCCCCTCCCTCCTTTCCCAGTTGGGCCTTGCCACCTACTCCTGACTTTATAACGGACTCTCACATCAGTGACTCTCACATCACACTCACAGAGTACTGGCTGAAGTACTACATAGCTACTACTTAAGCAGAGTTCTGGAGAGACCTGAGTGGAATCCTGTAAGCCTCACTCACCAAGGTGCTTATTCATGGAGTTGAGAGAAGACTGCCATTCAGTCAGCTGAGTCTTGCTGTAACTGGGGGGCAGAAGGTCACTGGGAAGGCAAGACATGAAAAGTAAGCCATGCTTGATAAAACATTCACTTGCCAAAATTGGTAGCATCTTCAAGGAACATAGCTCCAGAGGAGTAGCTGTATGAATATTGATGAAACAAGTGAATTGTTGGGGATTTCCTGGTGCCAAAACATAATGCAAGAAAAATTTATTAATATTAACAAGTCTGTTACTTAGAAAATCAAATCAAATTTTCCTAATGGGAAAAAAAACAAACAGTTCACATCACTGATCAAGGAAGCCTACTTCTAGGAACCTAATCTGAGATGACAATATAAAATGCATACAGAGTTTAAGTATTAAGATAGTCACTTAACAGTACTATTTATAAACACTCAAAAAATCATAAATAACCTCCATATTCAATGATAGGGAGCTGTCTAAATAAAGTACAGTGAATTCTCTTCTGAAGTCATTAAATATAGTGTGGCAGGTTGAAAAATGGTCAATATCACTAGCTCTTCCTATCAGGAGCTGGAGTCTCTTTCTCCATCCCTGGATCCTGGCTTTGGCCAGGACATTAGCAAACACAGCAGAGGCGTGGAAAGAGCTTGTGCATTCTGCCTTCTTCCTCTCTTGTGGCAGGCTGCTCTTCTGCCACCCTCATTATGCCTGTGTGCCTGGGTTAGCCTCCTGGAGGCTGAGAGAGCAAGTGGGGAGAGACCCTGGCTGTCCCAGACCAGGCTCCACACATGGAAGTGAGGCCGTACTAGACCATCCAGCTACAGCCAAGCCAGCCCAGACCAAGGAAACCACCTGGCGAACACACAGAATCATGAGAAACAAGAAATAATTGTTGGTTTAAGCCACTAGATTTTGGGTGGTGTTTAATGGTGTGGAAAGATGCATATAACTAGGGGAAGCATATCATTATTGTCCAAGCCAGGACATATTTGACAGTGAAAGTAAGGATGCTATTAATGATTACACTAGGAGAAGACCTATCACCCCGGGTGGTTGGGCACTCCACTTACGGCGGGACAGTAAGGAGCAAAAGGTAGATACAAGAGTGTGCATAGCATAATTCTAAGTCTAAACATTACACTAATGCAATGTGGGCTGGGTCCTGGAATAGAAAAAGGACATTAGTGGAAAACTGGTGAAACTGAAAAAGTCTGGTGTTTAATTAATGGGAATATATCCAAGTTAACTTCTTAGTTTTGACAAATATCCAATAGTAATGTAAGATAACATTAGGGGAAACTGAGTGAGGTGTATATAGGAATCCTATGTGCTATATTTGTACATTTTCTATGAATCTAACATTACTCCAAAATATACATTTAATTTTTAAAGCTATTAAAAAATTATATGCACATATAGTTTGTTTAAGAAAATCCAAATCCATGGGGATTCTCCTGGGACTTTGGATAACCCCCTCTTGGGGCCCTGGGAATCTTACCAACACTCCCCACCCCTCTGCCATCACTGCCCACAAAACTACAGAGGACCTGTGCATGAGCAGAGCGAGGGTCCCCACGGGGGCTGAAACTCTGGAGTTTCTGCAGGAAGGCCTGGAGCAGTCTGGACTGGGTAGGGAACTCCCTGTGATCCCAAAGGAGGCAGTTCCCTGCCCTGGGACAGCTCCTCGGGTGTGCTTAGAAGGCTCCCTAGCTGCCTGACAGGTCAAGAAAAAACAGGTGGGTGTTTATACCATGTGCTTTGCAGGTGCTGTCAAGACCCTTGCACAACAAACCCAACTCTTTTCTCTTGATGCTCACTAGGCTCCTAGGATCAAGGCTTTATGACTTTACTTTTAAGTTGTGTGTTCAAGCCTATGTTCACGGTACACATTCCCCAGGGATGGTGTCCTGACTTCACCTCATTATAAAATCCCACTGTGAAGGAGCTACTGGGCCCTGTACACCCTTGTCAACGTGCATGCTTGCCTCTGATTTCATAGAGTCACTCCACCTTCCTCCAGGCCAGGTCAAATCACCCACCAAGCTCCATGGTCCACCTGTAGACACTGCTGTTACATAGTGGCCATTACACTGTCTATCAGCCATGGCCAGAAGGGCTGATGATTGCATTTTTCTCCATGTCTTTGGCCCTGTCTCTCCCTTCCACTCAGGCAGGTAGTCAGTCAAATCCATGTTCACAGCCTGTTGAGGGATATGGCAGGGCAGAAAAGACAGAAGCCTAGAAATCTTTCTAGATTTTGTTTTCAAAAGTCTGAGTTCTTTAAATGGCTAAACCTAGAACATCGGTGAGAAGACATTTGTGGGAGTCAGCTGAGAACCCTTGGGAAGGAGATGCTGGGGACCATGGCTCTCTCCTCACCCTGAGGAGAGGTGCAGACAGAGCAGGATGGCAGGTGCCTGGCAGTGGCAGCCTGGGTCCTACTCCCTGTTGGCTGTGGGAGCAGCTGCAAGACCTGGGTCCCTGGAGGAACACGGCTGCCTGAGCGTGAGGGTGCAGGACTCAGAGCAGCCTCCTTAGGATTCCTGCATCCAGCTATGGAGGCAGCAGCAGTTGCTCAGTGGCATGTGGGTAGACCAAACACTAAAGCTCAGACCCCCAGCACTGTGCCTGGCACCAGGTGGGACTCCACAACTTCTCTCTCAATGGGTGGAACCCCAAGAAAGACTGAGTTTTACCCAGTTTAACAAACAGAGGCTCAGCATCAGAAATAAGTGAAACTGTAGAAAACAACAAAGCACTTTTCCTTGTGCTGAGGTTTTTATCCACCTTGTTAATTTTACGCCTGCATGTATATGTGGTTGCGGGAGGCGCCTGTGCGGGGAGGAAACTGTGTGTGGTTCTAATTGTCATTTATATCCTAGGAGAGCTTAGGCTCTGTGGTAGAGAGATAAAATTAAGAAGAACCTGCATCCAGCATTACAAGGGTAGGAGGGACCAACAAGGTGCACAGGAAAAGAAGCATTTCCTAGCAGGTCAAGTGTCCTACCCTACAGAACGCCAGAGGCTCCATCCTGCTATTGTGGGTGAATGCCACAGGCATCCCAAGCAGTGGGCTTCCAGGGTCTAGAACATTTGGTGTGCCCCCCACCAAACAGACTATGGGATCAGAACTGGGTAAACCTAGGTCTGAGGGGAGCAGTCACAGTCTCTAACTGGTCTCGTCCGAGGGCAGCAGCCTTCTCACTGACCTCCTGGCCTCCAGCCTCAGACACCTCCAACTTACCGTCCATATTACAAAGCTGATGAAGCCACTCTGCTCCCCAGTGCCCCAGTCCAGCTCCTTAAGCCGATCCCCCTGCTCTCCTCCACCTTCCCCCTCACCGTTGCCTCCTTCCAAGCTCTTTGGTACAGGCACACTAAACTTTTTTCTGCAGCAAATGTGTCATGTTATTTGTTGTCAGTGGGGCTGGAATGTGGGCCCAGCTGGCCAACCCAGGACCAGCGAACCAGGAGACTGCCTGCTCTGGAGGCTGCCTCAGGAGAAAGGTCAATGCTGAGGACTGTGTGCCCCTCCCCAAAGCCCCCTCCTGCGGTACCAGATGGCGCAGAGATGTTCCAGCCGCTTTTGCTGCAGGGCTTTCTGGTTCTTCAGCATGCTTTCCAGCTCCTTCTGCACAGCTGGAGGAGTCTGGATCCTCTCACTGGCCATGAATTCACTGGGTGTTCAGATGGGTTGGCACCATGGAGAGGAGAGGAGGGTAAGGTGTTTACGAGAGGGGATGAGACATGGTAAGAACACTCTGAACCCAGCACCCTTACACCTCTCCCAGCCCCTTCCTCCCCGTCCTGGGCCTCAGGGACACTGAGGAAAGGAGTGGGGAGAGAAGAACCAGTGAGGCTCTGGTGCTAAGGGCACATATAAGGGGCCGAAAGGCATAGATCCAAGTGTGAGTCCTGACTGCTGCCTGCCCACTATGTGACCTTGGGCAAGTCACTCCTCTCCTCTGAATCTGAGTTTTCTCTTCTGTAATGGAGCTTATGATAGTACCTTCCTCCTTGGTACTTGTAAGATGGCAGCAAGACACTGCAAGCAAAGCCCTTAGCATTGTGGGTGGCTCACGGGAAATGCCTGGTAAAAGTCAGCTCCTGCCATCACTGTTGATGATTACTGACATTTGTAACAACCTCCCAGGCCCAGGCCTGGGCAGGCACTTTGCATATAGCATATATTGCATGTAGTTGATCATAACTGAAACCCTATCCAGTTCATCACTGTGCCTGTTTTGTATATAGAGAGAAAGGCTTCAGATGTTCAAGAACTTGATCTAAGCCACAACGGAAGTACAGGTGGAGCCAGGTCTCAGTACACTCTTCCTTCCTCCCCAGTGTGAGACTCTGGTGTTCTCTGTCTGGAAATACTGGTGTGCAGCTGGGCCACCCATCCCTAGACCTGCAGTGTGGATGGACAGACACTCAAAGGAAGCCTTGCTTGTTGGCCAAAAGCTCCAGGACCCTTGTGTCACTATTACCAAATGTGCCACCTGGCAGAGGAAGCCCAGAGATGGGCCCTCTCTTCACCCTCCCAGGGGTGAAATTTGTTACCAAAGTGGGAGAACTATCAAAGCCTGAGGGATAGCCATTCTCGTTGGCCCAGTAACACGGGGTTACATATAATAGTAAAGAGTGGAAATTGGGCAGATAATCAGACTAATGTTTCAAACAATCTGTACTGTGCTCAGAAAATGCTTAGACAAGTGTTTATGAAGAAAATAAGATACAAATCTATGTATGCAGTGTGGGTTTAAAAAACCCTGGGGAAAAAATGTATTGAAATATCAGCTATGCTTTTCACTGTGGTTAGAGATTAGTAGTGATTTTTAATTTCTTATTTATATTTTTATCTATTTTAACTTTTCTTTTTTTTATTTTGGTATCATTAATCTACAATTACATGAAGAACATTATGTTTACTAGGCTCCCCCCTTCACCAAGTTTCTTTTTAAAAGCACAATTACTTTTACCATCAGAAAACAATAGCCTTTTAAAGTAATGACAGAAGGGGAGCGAGAATGCCACCCCCTCGCCTGTGCCAGCTGCCCAGGTGGGCTGGGGGAAGAGCTGTGGGCAGTGTGGGCAGCCGCTGACCTGAAACTCTGCAGCAGGGCCTGCTTCTTGAGAGTCTTCCAGGCACCGACCAGGCACTGCCAACGGTAGTGGCTCTCAAGCTCCTGCTGCAGTGTGGCCTCCCTCAGGTTGACGAACAGTTGGGCGATGGCCCTCCGGCTGCCCAGTAGGGCATGGTTTATAACCTGTGGTCATAGGCAGGCAGGCTCTAGATGGGGTGCGGGCTCTTCAAGATCAAAAGAAGGCTCAGTTGGAGAGGAGCAAGGGAAGGCTGGAGAGGGGCCAGGTGAGGTGCAGGATGGGGGCCTGAGCCAAACGAGACGAGCAGGGTGGTGAGAGCATCTGAGGCGTACGTACTGAGGGATCAGTAGGCACTCAAGGAAACTGCCTGGGACAGTGTAAGAGTCTTTCCTGGAGGCTAACCATGAACCCCGACCACATGAGCTTCCACCCAGCTCCAGGACCACATCAGACTGTTAAGGAAGCTGATCTGAGTTCACTGGAGTGAAGTGAACTGAGTGAAGCACTCACTCCAGGGGGCTCTCAGTGCTTAGCTGTTTTGTATATATTTGGTCCAAAAGCATACTGCTCATGCCATCTGGGACCAGTCACATATGGTTGTGGTGAGAACCAGGTCCTAGTGCCAAATGAGGCCAGCTAGAACATTCTTTGGCAATCCTCCCAGGGGTCCTCATCTGGGCACACTTGGCATGGCAGTGGGGACAGTTCATTGTGTGGTGCTGTTGTGCCATTTGGCATCCCTGCCCAATTCTATAAAAAAGTACCACTCCCAAGCCCCCAGGGACTGGAATAAATAAAAATGCCTCTACACATTTCCCAAAGCCCTCCAGGTACTGTCCAGGCACAGAAGAGACCACCTGCCAAGCTCAGCAGGTAGAAATTCCAGTAACATTTTTCACTGGAACCTGAGGTCTAATATAAGCTGTACTTCCTAGCTGGGGGGCCTTGCCAAGTAATTCTCCAGCCTCCAATTCTGCAGCCATAGCATAAAGATACTGCTATTTGCAGCATAGAAATTTTGTGAAATTAAATGAGATAAATGCACATAAAGCAAGCAGTTAGTGCCAGTTGTTATAATGAGCAGACTAAGCTTAGGAAAGTCAATCAATGAAACAACTGGAACACCACTAACTCTGATTCCCATAATGGATCAAAGCGATAAAAGTTAGGAACTCTTGCTTGTCTCAAAATAAGAGCAGCCACTGCAGTACTCCCAACAAGTACTGGGGTTTAAGTATCACTATTATCCCTGCCCATTTTATGCACAGGGAGTTCCAGGGGCAGGGGCTGAGTTATTTTGGCATCCTTCATGTCTAGGCAGTGGAGAGGGAGGTCTGTGTTCACTCCGTCTGTTTTTGTCCAGGACCCCAAGGCACAGACCTGGGTTGCAGCCCATGTGGTTCTGAGTGCTGTAACCTGTGTGCTGCCTGGAGGCCCCTTATCTGGCAAGCCCAGCTTTCTGCATGGGACTTGGAAACCCGTGCAAGTAAAATGCACCTCTGAGTAGCCAAAAGAAGCATCTTTTCACACAGTGGTGGGGTCAGGCTTAACTCTGACTTTGGAGACATCATGAACAGCCTTGAATTTTTTGTTTTCTACCTCCAAAAGAATCAGTTGAGGGAGACGGGAGTGTGCAGAGAGAAGCAGTGGAGACAGAGCTGGGGACAGGCATTCAGGAACAGAGCAACAGAGACCGAAGTAGGAAGAGAGACACGAAGCCCTTGAAAAACTAGACAGACAGAGCAGGTGGGGCGCACTTAGGAGGGTGCAAACCGCCTTGAGATCAGGACAGCTCCACTGTATAGCACCTATTGCAATGCACATAGTAACCGAGATGGCCGGGCAGGTGCTAGTAAAACCAGCAGCACTCAAACCAATGATGCTGTGAGGATTAAAATGGCAGGGAAATATTAAATATACTTCAGAAAGATTTCTGTTGAAAACACCTAACGAAGAGTGAACCCAAGTGGCCACACAGAGTTACTTGGAAGTGTTACAGACGAGAAGCCCGTCATTCCTGACATGCCAAGCTCTGGGGCATTCTGGGGCCTGCTCCTTCTCCTGTGGGCTGATCTCTTGCACCTGAAATCCACTCACCATGGCTTCTTTATTTATGAGCCTGTACACATCAGGCTGCATGAGGTAGGAAGTTCTCTCTATGATTTTCACGTATTTCTTCAACACACTTCTCAGCTAGAAAAAAACAAGGCACTATAGGTAGTGACCGTCTTCTCCTGCAGAACTCAAAGAAAGCAGATGAATCTTCATTAAATCCCACAAGTGGAAATCACCAAGAGCCCATTTGTAAGCCAACTCACTTTGTCGGTCCGGGAGAACTCAAGCAAATGTAGTTTCTCATCCAGCTCCTTTATCTCCTGCTTCTGGAGCAAGAATTTCTCAGCCACCTGATCCCACAGCTCCAGCAAGGTCTGTGCCGAGACACCTGGGTCAGGTGAGAGAACAGGCGGCGGGGGGGTGGGGGGGCGGGGAGGAGCAGGACCAAGGTAGGGCAGAGCCCGCCACAGAGGGACGCCTACTTGGATGGTGTAGTCTTCAAGGTTGTCATTTTCCACCTTTTGGAAGAGAGAATTGATGTCTTGATCAGACTCAGCCAGCTTTTTTATAAACAGTGTTCCTGGCTCCAAGATGAGAGGTTCCATTTCCTAAAACAGGCCAAGGGCGATGGCTATGGTATCAACACCACTGGGGCAGAAGGAAGCCCCTCTGTAATGTAGAAATGCCAGCCATAGTCCTGTCTCAAAAGTAATAATAATTACCTAGCTCTAAGGAGTTAAGGCTTAGTAATAAGTTCACAGGCAGAGCATAAGAACAGCCACCATTTATTTCAGGCACACACCATGCGTGGGGCTCTGCTATATGCTGAGTCCCCATCCTCAGACTCACTTGGTACTCATCACAGCTTATGAAGAAGTTGCTGACATCAGGCTGGCCAACGGTTGGGGCTCAACAAATATTCATTAAAGTGGCTAATGAAAGAATCCCAAGTTTACTTCAGATGAGGAAACTGAGGCTCAGTTACATTGTATGGCCAAAGACTCAGGGCTCATGGGTGACAGTGGAGCTCCCGTCCAGCTGGCACACATGAGGAAAGGGCTGCACAGTCTGGGGGAGCTTCCTGGTGCTTTGGGTACTGAGCCAGCTCCAGGAGCAGGGGAAAGGCAACAATCAGAGGAGACCTGGGGAGAAAGTGCTGAGTGCCGTGTGGGGCTCAGAGAAGACCTGGCAAGGCAGAGAAGGGCCTCACCTAGGGAACACTCCAGGGGCCAGTGTGGTTAAGAGATGGAAGGTCAATGGAGAGGAACAGGGAGACAAGCGAGGGTGGTGTGCCCAAGGGCCAGGCAGCACCGGCTGTAAAGCAGGGGTGGGCGAGGGACTAGGCCATATGGCCTCTCACTGGTAGGACTGAGCAGGGAGATCAAAGCCTGCACTTTGGCATTAGACCTGCAGTCCAGTTTCCATTTAGCCCCTTATGTGTCAAGTCAGACAAGACTTTCTGGGCCTCTCCTGTAAAATGGGAGTAATAACAGTACCTGACTTATAGGGCTATGCTCATAACAAGCACTCATAACTAGACACTCAAACATGGCTACTATGATTTTACCTACACCGTGGTGAGCACAGAGGACCTCCAAGGTGTCGGGAAATGAAGGGAGGGAGCAGTGACAAGCCAGGATTTGGAGTGGCCCAGGAACAGAAGGGGAGAGAGGGGGCTTCTTACCATCCCGATCTGAGCGATCTCCTCCTTAAACCTCCCCAGAGCACTCTCATAGCTCCGCTTCTTGTAGTCCCCTTGTGCTTGAAGGGTGATGCTGCTGATCTTCTCCGGAGCTGCGGAGAACAACAGAGGTGACAAGGCTACCCTCGGAGCTCCAAGGCCAGGGGACAGTGCCCAGGAAAGGCAGCAAGGCAGAGGGGGCCTTGGTCAGGGCGTAGACCCCCCACACAAGGCCGGCAGTGTCAGCAGCTTAAGGAAAAAGAGAAGATGAAGGTGATCCATGAGTACTATAGGGAATGAAGTCTTGCATATACAGTTAAATGCTGGAAAAAAGTTCCTAACTGGTATTTATAGAATGGAACTATTTATGTTTTTTAAAAGTTTCACAGACACAAATACATACACAAGTAAGAATAAGCATCACTTACATAGCACCTTACATGTACCAGGCATTGCTCTGCTTCCATTACTGCGCATGAAGAGACCAAGGGGCAGGTTCTATTTATTGGCTCTATTTCGCAAGTGAAGACACACAGAATGGGGCTTAGGAAAAGTACACAGTGGCCGAGCAGGCGTTTGGACATGGGCCATCTGCTATAGGGTCCGCACTCTCACCTGTGCTCTGTTGTCCCCAGAACTGTGTGGGAGGCTGGACATCACGTGGTTTCGTGGGGTGGGCACTCTTGGGAGAAGAAGGGGTGCTATTGTGGAGGGAGAAAGTTTACTTTCTGTTTATCTCCTTCCTTTGTTTTTCTACAGTGAGCATGTATATTATTTTTACTTCTTAAATCGTACAGAAAAAGAGCTTCCATATTGGGGTAAAGTCAAACCAGGACAATATAGTATGAAGGGAAAAAATGTAAATTGAGAAATCTTCTTGTGAAATCACGGTACAAGAAGAAACATCTTTTACCCACTGACTTTCATCAGTAAATGCCATGGCCCAGCATCCCCTTCCCCTCTCCCAGCTTCCTGTACAGGAAGAAGGCAGAGGGGAGGGGGCTCAGGGGAAAAGGCCCAGGGAAGGGGGTTCCGGGGAGAAGGCCCAGGGGAAGGGGTTCTGGGGAGAAGGCCCAGGGGAGAGGGTTCAGGGCAGGAGGCCCGCTTTGCGGCTGAGCAGAGGAACACAGTGGGAGCTTTAGGTACTTCCATACTGGAGCCTCCAGGAGATCCTCCCGGGGCTCTCTCTGGCTCCAGCCAGGCCTGCCCTCGTAGCTGAATGGAGGCTCACCCACAGTGTCCATGAGGCCCCGGACTTCTCGGGCAGCAATGGTGCTCTCACTCTCTTGACCTTTTTCCTTCTTGGCTATTTTCTTTTCCCTGAGGCACAAGCAGAGGGGAACAATAAACCTCCAGCCCTCTTGCCCTCTCAGGGTAGCTCTGGCTCATGAGGGGATCTTCAGAGGGACCCTGGGTGTCGGCAATAGCCCAGGCCCTCCCAATTCCAGAGAGCCCCAAGGCTGTGCCAGTCTGCCAACAAACACTGCATGGGCACCTGCTGCCAGCAGACACCACAGTCCTTAGACAAGAAGTCAGGGCCTGTCCTCAGGAAGCTTGCTTCCACTCTGGCTGCAAACCAAATGTGGGTGGTAGACAAGAGCCATTTTCCGCATACAGAAACTGAGGACCAGAAAGGGTGGGACCAGCCTGGGAAAGCCAGGCTAGTGCTAAGCATTCAGCATTGGCTCCTTCAGCAACCCAGCCTATGAGGCAGCTGGAGTAACCACTGTCCAGTACAGAGGAAGGGGACTTAGATTAAGCCACTGTACAAAGCAGAGCTGGGACTCCCAGACCTGTGCATTTACACAAAGTCCAAGGTCCAAGGGGTTTGGGGTAGAGAGAGCTGAGATCCCAGGACAAAGTCTCAGCAGGAAGGACCAGGGTGGGTGAGCATGACTTTAGCTTTAGAATAAAAGTCCCTAAATGCACGGTCCACGGGGCAAGCAGCACAGAGATGCAGCAGTTCTCAGGGATGCCTGCCATTCCTCAGGGCCCTTGTGTGTGCAGCACTTTCCAGTCATCTTCTCGTGTTGTCTGCACTGCAGACCCACTGACAAGGAAGACATCAGGGCCTGGGCACAGTGGTGGGGCCCAGGCTGACTCTCCAGAGGTGAGGCTTTCAGCCTTGTCCATGAAATGCCCCTGCACTAAGAAGGGCCCCATGAGGCTGGGTGCCCTGACTACTGGAGCTGCTGATGGCTCTGGCTTCTTGGCCATTGGACCTGGGGCCTTGAGAGCTTGATTTACATAAGTGGTGATCCAGCCCATCGTGGGTCCCTCTCCCACTCATCCAGAGGCCCTGCCCTGGGTGAATGAATACACAACTTGACTGGCTTTGAATGGTCGAATTTTCAGGAAGAGGACAAGGCACCCCAGAGAGACAGTGATGCTGAGTTAGTGACCACTTTTGAGGCTGGCAGGTTACAAACACATCTCTCTTCCTGCCACAGGCCACAGGGAATTGTGCTCTGGATCTGTATCCAGGCAGAGCTGGCTTTGTCCATCTGTCCCAGGAAGCTAACACAGCACAACGCCAGCACCCTCTATGAAAAGTGCTTTCTTAAACACTGTCCCATGGGTGCCAAGAACTCCTGACTGATGCTGTAACTGGTAACGAGGATAATGGGTGGTTCTAGGCTAAACCCTGGGGAAGAGGAGACCCTTGGGAGACACAGGTCAGCTCTCAGCCAGCTAGGAGAGGGTTTGACCCTTGTGGGAGGTGGAGTCATGGCCAGGTTGTGGGCCCATCCTCCTGGGAGGCAGGGGAGCATGGACAGGCTCCAGCTGTCTGTGCTTTGGGATCCCTGCATTGGGCCTCAGGCACATGGGCTGGGAAAGCTGGCCTCCAGTCTAGGCTTGGGGGAGCAGTGGGTTTGCCCATCTGTAGATAGTGAAGGGTGCTGAGGGTCAAAAGCCTTGAGAGTTTTCCCTGGGAAAAGTCAAAGATCAGGTCAGGGCAGAGATCTTTTCCCAGCATTTGGTCAATCCCTGCCCCAAAAGGGGTGAAAAGAAAACAGGTAGAGATGAACTGACTTCCTGTCCTGAAGTCTCAGACCAGAGAGGGGTTAATGGCTAATGCAGAGCTTAAAGAGCCAAACGCAAGCTCAGCTTCTGCTATGTTCTCCTAAAAGCCCTGTGAGAAAGATGAAACGCCTCCTTGTCCTTGTCTTTCTCCTTGCCTTTCTTTTTTCCCTATATAAGGAATCTGAGCTCGGGAGCTGGAATGGCATGTGCAGGAATCTCAAGTTCACCTTCTCCTGATCTCTCTGCCCAAACCCCACATGCTCCCATCTCAGAGAAAGATGCCTCCACTGTCCATCCAGACAGGTCAGGTCAGAAGCCTAGGACTCTCAGAAGCCCTCTCCTCCCACCCAAGCCATCATCTAGTTCAGTGCATTGTTTCCAAAATGAACCTGAAGTGCCCTCCTCTCCCTCTTGCAGCCCCACCAAGCTTCTGTGGACAGCACTGGCCTCCTGCCTGGCCTCCCTGCTGCTTCTTGCAGCTTCCTACATTCTGTGCACAGCTGCCAGAAGGCCTGACAAATGCAAGTCAGCCGCTCACTTCAGTAAAGTCCAGAACACTGACGATGGCCTGCAAGCCTCTCCTAGCCTCATCTCCCGCCCCTCTCCCAAGGCCCACTGACTTCTTCAGTCTTCTGGAGCAGATCAAGCCCTTATTGCCTCAGAGCCTGGCCCCAGGCTTCCCTTCCCTCAATCTGGTGTCAGCTGAGGCTCCTCCACAGAAAGCTTTCCTGACTCCTGTCCCACCACTCCATCCTCTGTGTCAGAGCCCTCTCACCTTTGGGGGAACCTTATTTATTTACCTCCAATTCCAGGAAGGTGGGATCCCCAAACCCAGTGCCTGGCTCTAGGCACTCGATCAATAATTACTGAGTGCAGAGGGGGCTGATGGGAGGGAGAAGCAGACAATCCTGCAGAGTAGGCATTATTACCTCCCTCTTTCAGGGAGGCACCGGAACTTCATTCCTTTCTCGGTCACTCATCTGGTGTGAGCTCTTCTTGAGGCCTGAAGACTCTGACACATCCCCAGTGTGGGCATATGGCCTGGACCATAGGACCTACCTGTAGAGAACAGGGTTTTCTGTGACCCAGTCATTGGGTAGGCTATGCACCCACTTCCGCTGCCGAGGAGCCATCAGCTCCCCTTCAGGAGTATCCACCTTCTTCATCAAGGGTTTCTTGCCATTCTTCGCAGTCACAGAATGTTCCACAGCCCGCTTCCTGGTGGCTGCCAGGGAGCGGACTAGCTGCACCTGAATCCATGGAAGCTCTTGGTTAGGGGATCAGCCCCAGCACCCTCAGGCTGGCCGTATGGTCTTAGAAGGTCGACTGGGACCCTACTAGCAGGGTGGCACCTTCCAGGGAGGCCTTCACCCCAGGAGGGACCTCCACCCCCCCCACCCTGATCCCCAACCAGCAGTCATTCACCCACTTCTAGAAAGATGCTTTAGTGAAAACTAAGATGATCTGTCCCTTAACACGGATTGGTTGAGTAAACATGGTATGACCCTTCAAAGGAATGTTAGGCATTTATTAAAAATGAGACTTAAATAAAAATTTTTATGACATGTGGAAATGCTTATGGTATAAAACATATCAATTAAAAACATAAATTAAAAATTATAGCAAAAATTATATAGTATGATCTCAAAATTCTAAATGCATAGAAAAATGACTGGGAGAAAATATGCCAAATATTAAGAATGGTGCATTGCTTCCATAGAGCTGGATCCTGAGAGTGATTGGTTTCTTTGGTCTCTTTACATTTTTATCATTTCCAAGCCTTCTACAGAGAGCATGATTTAGGGCACAAAGAATGAAAATCCCTTGTAAATAAGCAGTACAGAACTTCAAAGAAAGGGTTTGAGTCTGCGTATTTCTTTTTTGACATCCTTTGTTTATGCAGTTTTTTTAATAGATGAGAAATTATATGGTTGTCAAAAGGGTGTTATTTTAATACATTATGGGAAGTCCTAAATCCACAACTAGGCAGCCACTGAACATGAAGTATATGGATGTCTATTGTGTGGGAAAGGTCTGTGAAATACTGTTAACAAAGAAAAAAAGGTTTCAAAGCACTCAGTTTTTAACTGAAAAAAATCAGAAAAGCTTTTATGGATAGGAAAAAGACCCAGGGCACCCAATGGTTAATTCTGGCTCTCTCTGAGTAATTTAAATTTAATTAAAACCTTTTAAATTTTCTTATTTTCAAGAATAGACATTCTAATTTTGTACTCCTACATATTCAGAACCAGTAAGAATTACTTTTAAAATCAAAGCAATTTCGAAGCCCTTATTTTATTAGAGTCCCAGGCAAGGAAGCCTTCAGAGGGAAAGGAGTTGGGGGGGAGCAAGGGGAAGTCTGAGGAGCAGAGGGAAAAGGGGGGTGGGAAAAGGGGGGGACAGAGGGATAGGCCTACCTCAGCCTTGAAGATCTGCTGGTAGACTTTCCCGTTGGGAACCTGGGTCACCTTTCCCACTGAGGACATCTTGGCGCTGGCGGGATGCCCCTACTGGTAAGCCACCGTCCAGGAATCACGTCTAGGTTTTGATCTCATTACCACCCAGAGGCTGAGAAACCGACCTACCCCCGCGCCCCACTGCCCTCCGCGACAAACACACGTCTTCCCCAGAGAACATGGCCCCCCAGATCCGGGATGGTGCGGGACCCACCTGAGGCCGGGACTCCTTTACTCTGGGAGAAACCTCGGGCCCCTTTCCACCCTCAGAGTTTTCATTTTAAACAAAAGGACGAAGGGAGGGACGAGGCAGCACAGCCTGACCCTGGCTATGCTAATTAGGCACCTACCTTCAGCTGAGAAAACCCCGGCCTCCTCTCAGCCCTCCCACGCCCACCCCAAGCTCCCGAGGAGCGGGGACAGCCCCTGGCAGCCCCTCTAAGCCCGGTCAAACGGATGGAGGCCCTGCGCCCCACCTTCAGAAAGCACTCTCGGGTCAGCCAGGGCCTGGCCCGCCTTAACGGCAACGGGACGCGCTCGGTCTCCGCGGCAACGCAGAGGGGAGGAGCCCCGCTGGTCCCGCCCCCATTCCTCTCCGCGCTGAGAGGGGGCAGGCCTGGAAACCCGAGCTCCGCGCCGGGAGTAGGGAATCTCGGAGTCTAGCCCTTCCCTCCCTACCCGTTTCTCTGCGCCAGGGGTACGTCGGGACTGTGGGGAGCGTCCGGAGCAGCACATTAAATGTTCTGAAAAGTCGTAGGAGATGTAGCTCCGAGTCACTGCGGTCAAGCAAATCATCCTATCTTCTTTGCATTGATTAAAACCAACCTCTGCTGGGAAGTAGCATAGAGCAGTGCTTGGCTATAAGAAGCTGAAAGCGTGTCTAGGAGGCCATCTCCTTGTCAGATTAAGAGGTTGAAGGTCCTAAAATTCAGGCCTCGACGTTTGAATGGAATTTAAAAAAGGCTAGTTTACGTGACATTTTGAGCTCCACTCATCCTAATTTATGTGACACTTTGAGTTCCACTCATCCTACCCACCACTGCCACATAACCCTCCTAAAATCTAGCTCAGACCCACCCACTCCCCCGCTCAAAAGTACTTCCCCAACACCGCAGTACCTGCCTGATCCAACCTACATTCCCTGGACCTCCTCAGAGGCCGCCACAAGTCCTGGATCCAGCTGACTGGATTTGTGTGTTGAAGCACAGGATACATACCAAAATGTATGGAAATCATAAGAGTATAGATCAAATATCCAAAGGGAACATGCCTGGCAACCAGCACCCGCAACAGGTAGAACATGACCAACTCTCCAGGAGCCCTCCTCAGGTACCCATCCCAAGTCACTGCCCTCTCTTCCCCAAGGGTGACAAGTATCCTAACTTCTGAATTAGTTTTGCTTGCTTTTGAACCTTATTTAAATGGAATCATACAGAATGTTTTTATGTCAGGCTTCTTTCATTATGTTTGTAAGTTTCAAACATTTTTAAATACGGTTCTAATTCCTTTTTATTTCCGTATAGCATCCTATTATAAAACTATAACCCATTTTATTTATCCTTTCTGTCCATTTTATTTATCCTTTATTGATGCACATTTGGGTTGCTTCCAGTTTAGAGAATTACCAACTAGTGCTGTTCTAATATTCTCTTGCTCAGTGAACCTATATGGAGGCATTTCTATTGGATATTTATCTAAGAGTGGAATATTTGGTCATAGAGTATGTGTTAAGTCCATCTTTAGGAGATAATACCATGGAGTTTTTGAAAGTAGTTGTTGGGAGTTTACACACAGCAGTATTTGAAAGAGTTCCAGAAGCTCCACATCCTCATCAACACTTGGTATTGTCAGTGGTTCTTATTTTAGCCATTCTGATGTATGTGTAGTGGTGTTTTGTTGTGGCTTTAATTCACATTTTCCTGATGAGTAATGATGTTGTACACCTTTTCATATATTTGTTGGACATTTGGTTATCTTTTTGTGAAATGCTTAGTCAAATCTTTTGCCCATTTTTTTTTGGCATATTGTCTCTTTTCTCTCATTAATTCATGGGAGCTGGTTACATATCCTATAGGAGGCTTTTTCCACATAAACGTATGACGTGTTTATTCCCATTTTGCTTTTGCCATCTTCCTCTCTTGAAGGTGTCTTTTGATGAAAAGTTCTTAATTTTAGTAAAGTCCAATTTAGTAATTTTTGCCTATGGTTGGGTTGAGCTGAATTGGAAATTTTCATGTGTTTACAGCAAGAAACTATGTCCATTTGAAAGTAAAACTGATCGAAACAGAGCTTCTTGGAAGAAATGAGAACAGAGGCTCAGGTAACCAACATGAGGGGCTCCCCTCCCCAGGCCCACAGAGCCGTGAGCTCAGAGGAACTCAGTGGAAACCCTCACCCAGACAGTTTGAATCTTTTGGGTTCTCAAATAATAAGGACTTGCACTCAGACCCCTCCCATTATTCACAGATTTCTCCTCCCTTATTTGCTTTCCCCTCCTCTCCAGAAGAGTTCCTGAAAGCAGAGACAATTCACTGAGCCAGGAACTGCTAATCAAGGGAGAGTGGAGGCTGGAGGCTGGAAAGGGAGCAGGGGTGAGAGGGGAAGGAGAACTGGGCAGGGTGAAATTTTGCTTCTAACTCAAAGTATCTTTAAAAAAAGTTCAGTCTTGTCTTGTCTAGATTAAAAAGAAGAGAGATCTGTTTGGTCCATGGGCAGCAGGGAGCAGTTTTGGTGAGTAGGAGGCCCTGGTAATAGAATATAGTGGTAGTGGCGAGGTTCATCCAGAAGGGCTTGATAAACTGGCAGAATTAGCAGTCCCTGGCTTCCATGCTGGTTCATCTTGCTGGCACTTAGCTTCCTCCAGGCTGTGAGGGTGAATGGGGTTCTTTTCTTCCCTAAAGCAGCCAGCCTGTCCTCAGGGAGCCAGGCTCCTGTTGCTCTTCCTGTCTTTATTGCACCTTCAAAGGGAGGCACCCTGCCTGCCCCAGGGATGGGCCTGGTGGGAAATAGCTGCCTAATCTTGGGTCAAAGTGGCTGGACGAGGGACAGATATGTATGCATTCTGCAGCTTCCCACTTTCCCTCTACAGCAGTCACTGCCAACCAGTCACAGTCAGGATTCTTACCTGGGTGTGTAGCTGGCAATGACACATGCCCTAGATGGCTTATAAGAAGCTGGGGAACCAATGGATTCTTAGTGGATCCTTCCAGAATGGAAGTCAGAAGCTTCATGTAAAAGAGAAATTGAAGTGTTACCACCCTGCGCCCTGTTGGATGGGGATGGCACCTCGGGAGTCCCCTTCCCAAGTGGACGAAGAAAGAGTTGTGCAGGGGGTGTCCTGAGAGCTACCCTGGGGAGGTGGAGCCTTTGGCATGGCCTCAGGCCTAGACTGGGGGGCAGAGACTCCAGTGGGGCTGGGGCAAACAGGAGCCTCTCAGCTAGGCTCCCAAGATACCCTGTCTCTTTCAGCTGTAAGATGACTAAGGTCTTAATAATGTATAACCTGCTGACTATGGGTGATGATGCTGTGTTGTATAATTAAAATTTGTTAGACAACTTAAATGTTCTTTAATATATATTTATATAAATACATAAATTCAGCAACCTCATAGTAATTTTTGTTCCTCTTTCTGAAGGAAAAAAAAAAGGAAAATAAAAGAAGAAAAATCAGTCTGATAATGTTAATACATGAGATCACAGGGAACTACCATAGAGGTAAAATCACATGAGGGCAAAATTCTTCCTCGGTATTTTCTTAGTTTAAGAAACATTTCCCTGAACAGGAAACTACTCTAGCTCCCTACTAAACCCAGAATCCAGGAGCCAAATGACAGGAATCCAACAAGACAGGGCATGAATTATGTGGTATTAATAATTCACACTCACCATGGGGGAGCATGAGAGACATGGTCTGTGACTGCACAGTGATTTTCTTTAAACAAACAAATATATTTACACAAGATATTTAGTGAGGTGCACTGATTTTTCCTCTCTGGGAGATTATAATATCCATATTATTTAAGTTTATCTGCATAATTTAATGTTAACTCACATGATTGGCTGTGTATATAGGAGAGTGAATTAATGCGTGCAGAAACCCCAGGGGTGATTATCAGCATCACGTGGCATAGTTGCTTTCACCCCTCAAGCAGACTGCTTGGTTTTCAGCAAAAAAAAAAAATCCATTCTTTCATTCTAAAAATGGAACTTGCTATAAGATAACCAGAAAGAAGTACAATTTTACTGTACCCGTCCTCTCAACAGCTCATATGCCATCACTCTCAGGGACCACCAGTCAACAGCAAAGGAGTAGCCTGCTTCTCTTCTGGAGTTGAACATTTCAGGTGCTGAAAATATAGAAAAGTTAGGTCAGTTTTACTCCCTGAGGTATTAACAACTCTATCTTCCTAACATGTTCCTCCAAAGGTGAATTATCAGGGCAAAAAGCATAAACACTTCTATGAAGCTTTATCATCCATCACTAGATTGCTCACAGCAGGCAAAAATCTCTAATTTTCTAACCTCTCTCAACAGCCTCATTCATCAACCAACACACAGTCATGTATTGACCTTACGAACAATTTTTTTTCCTATTTAGATGGTGTACTCATTCAAAACTGGATCCCACCAGCCTCAAGTGGGCAGGTGACCCTACAACCAACAAGGCTGAGATCATGTTATGTGTCGTCCTGGTTTGGAAAGTCTTTGTCAGAGGCTCTAAATTCATATCACTGATGCAAGTAGCCTCGGATTCGGTGCCCTGCACACTGGACTGGCTCTCCATCTGCATCGCCTGTGAGAGGCAAGGGTGGCACTTACAGCCTGCTATGGGGGGTGAGGGAGCGGGACTAGAGGGCCAGCACTCTGAGCAATAAAAGGGTTCACATTGTCGGCAGAGGAAACTTGCATGTTGTGACATAGATATTTGAAAAGACTCCAACAGAGGACACAGCCAGTCAATTCTACCCCCAGTGGGGGCCCCCTAGTAATGCATCTGCTAAGCATTTTGATGCACCAGGAAGCTTCTACATTTTCTTCCAAGAGCACACCAGCCCTTGAGGGGCAGCGCAGGGAGAATGAAGCACAGAGTGGTGCCACTGCCTTCCCAGTACTGAGCCCTGCAGAGAGAATGAATGGCCAGCGATGAGTCAATTCCACAGGACCTGGCTGCAGTCCCCAACTCTGGGACTGTGTGCCTCCTGGGTTCAAAGCCTGCCTTTGCCACTTACCATGACCTGGACCGAGTGCATTGGCTGAGCTGGAGACTCCTCATCAGAAGAACCAGAATAATAAGAAGGCAATCTTTACAGAGGTGAGAAAGTAAATGAGATAACACATGCCAAAATCTCAGCATAGTGCCTGGCACTTGGAAAGTGCTCCAAAAAATCAGGCACTCTCTAGAGAGGTAAACACCCATGATGATGGGAATTTTACCTAGTCAAAAGCTATACTCGGTTGACCCAAGTCTCTGGTAGTGAAGTCCTGACTCTGGGCAAA